AAGATATGATATGTGGCAAGATAGTGCAGTTAATACTTTTAATAGTGTAATAGTATATAAATACCATAATGTATGAAATACCTCAAATAAAAGTGGTATATATATAGATATCTGAATTATTACAATAGATGGCCTATGATGTAAGAAAAATTTATGATGGTACCAATGAAAAATGTATTCATATATCATTGTCGAAATAGCATGCAAATTAAAATTTTACCCTGAGGAATTATATGATGATACCGGTATATGATGGAACCGACAAATAATGCATATGCATGATAGAATGGACTAGTGAATAAGGGATTTGGAATATATGTCCATTTTGATGTCGACATATAATGATCAAAAGTTTATTATGGACCAGAAGTCCAATGAAATATGGATTTTTAAATCCACACTGTACAGTGTCTTGCATTATTTTGAGTCATATATATGTTTATATGCATGTATAAGTCATAGGTTAACGGATTGTTCATTGCATATGTCAGTATTTGTTAAATGCATTACCTATTGTATATTTTGCTTTATGTCATTATGTTTATATATCTCATATTGCATGCATTAGTTTCTATACAATATTTGTCGTGTATGTGCATGTTTATTCAAAGTATAGTAAGGAATATTTACAACCTTTGATGGAAAATTAGAAAGACATAATTATATTCCAACGGACTTATAATTATGATGAAAGTATATATGACGTTGATTTAATATTATTTATGAATCATGTAAGAGAAGTTCCCGAAGAACTTATATGCAACGTATTTATAGCCCTACAAATTATATATCTTGAATATTGCAATGATTATCAAACTCTTGAAAGTCTATGTGACTACATCATTGACTTCTCAACCTGAAGTTTGAGCATATGAAAGTTAGTGAGATTTGCTTTTGTATTTGCAAGAGAGCCATCGTGTTAATTATGAAACGTCTAAGGAATATCAATGGAATACTTATGCGTGAGAATGTTTTCTTATGGTCCAGAAGAACCATGATTAGCGTATCTAATTACATGTGTTATATTATAATTCAGATGAGATTGAAGACGACATTAATAATATCAAGTTTTGTCATCAAATTATTATTAATGAATGTTTGATCAAATAATGATCATCGATTTCTATTATTCACGACCTCCAGAAGAAGGCCTAACCGCATAAGTTTAACTTTTAAAGTAACTTTATTCAAACAGAGGTTTGGAATGATGTAGAGATAAATACATGTATGGTGAAATGAAGACATTTCACATGTTCACTTGAAGACTTGGAGATGCACTTTCAGTTTAGGAGGATCGAAGACCAAGAATGATATTTGACTACATATTAGAAGATATCCAATCATATTGGATCTATTGTTGCGGCACTAGAAGATCTCAAGTTATGTATTCATCAGGAGGAGAAAATACGCGCTGCACTCTTTTTCCCTTGACCATGGTTTTGTCCCACATTGGGTTTTCCTGGTAAGGTTTTTAATGAGGCGGCATCTCGAGCGTATTACGAAGAATGTTGTACTCTTTTTCCTTCATTAGGTTTTTTTTATCCCACAGGATTTTTCCTAATAAGGTTTTAACGAGGCACACTCTTCGATAATGGACATCCAAGGGGGAGTGTTATGAAATATTTGTGGATATCCATTATCCTCCTTGTATCATTCCGGAATATTCTAGATCTAGGCTTTATTGTTATCTAAGCAAACCCTAGTTATATTGTATATATATATATATCCGTACTCTATGGAATAATAAGCTGATGAATTCTCTCTCCATCTCTCATATTTTCTCCTTATTTCACAACGATTATATTGCATGGTGATAGATGAAATGAAATCGCTCAATTGATTTTTGTGCTCTCTAGCTAGCTAATAAAATTAAAATAAAAATTATATACTATATCGACTAAAAATGTCATACTTTCTCTGTTTTTTTTAATAAGTGTCTTAATTTGGTCTTTTGGATTATTACATGCATGCTCTATTTTGATCACAAAATATAGTCATATGGATGTATATTGAAATTGTCTTAATGTATTGTTGTTTTCAAACATTAAAATTTAAAATCTATACTTATCTAAGATCAATTATTATTGGTCAAAGTTTTGCTACAACGTAAGTGTGTGTGTCAAGTCAAAATGGGGCAATTTAATCGAATGGGGTAGATATAAAAATAAATATTTATTTTCCTTATCTTATTTTTCTTTGCATTCTTGTCGAAATTAAGAACACAGATTTAACATTAGTTGAACTTTAGTTAACATGCACGATTTTTTATCATTGTTGTTTTTTAATTCACCTTAATTTCAAGGAACTTATAGTTTTGTAAGCTAAAATTTATTAAAATAAGTTAAGTAGCATTTGATTAACTAATGAGGAAGAAAAGCAATACTTTAGAATCGAGGTTTGGAACAAAAATGGAGATATTACTAATTTACTACCCCCACAAATTCCACCCATCTTTTGGCCCACTAGACCCGAGTAGAATACGTGGATCCTTCTAGAGGCCGTGGAATTGAATATTGAATAAAATGGATCACGCTTCATCAATCATGGGTGGGGTCCGTCTTAGATTTGTATTGATGATGGATCAAATCGCAAAGTGCACATTATTAGTTCATTGAACTCAATTTTTTTGATGGGATTAGCACATTTTATGATTTTTGTGATCCTATTTCATGCATCATGCATGGTGGATTGGTGGGGCCTCAAAATGCTTAGATTTAAGGCACGTGCAATTATTGAAAAACTAAACATTACCTCTCTTATACAATAAATACACTGTTTTGATCTTTTGCATTATTCATTTGTTTATAAATATTGTTGATTTATGATACTTATTTATGGGTTTACTTATAAATTAAAAAAAAAAAAAAATTGTCGGTTTGGTTTCAATGTATATTTTCAAATTATAAATTTTTATGTATATACTAACAATGCATCTTGTGTGTGGCAAAACACACCATGTGATTGCTAGTAAAAGAATAAGGCCATGACATGTTCACTTCACCTTAATTTTAATTCAGTTAAGCTCCTATCAATTCAGCTCCCAATTTCCTTCTCTCGTGAAATATTCATTTTAGCTCCAATCAGTTCAGTTTAGCTCCAATCAGTTCAGTTCAATTCAATTCAGTAAATGTGAACAAGCCCTAAAATAACCTCTATAACACTGGTCGAGTAAACCCTGCAATATTGATTGAGTAACCCCTGCAATACTAATTGAGTAACCCCTATAACACTGATGAAGCAACCCTTGTAACACACTACTACTAATCGAGTAACCCCTCCAACACTAACCAAATAACCTCATGGTGGCTGGCCATACCCCATGGTGGTTGACTACACTGTGTGGCCAGGCACATATAAAAACTTGTGAAAAACTTTTATATGTGATTCGACATGCATATTATGTGATCAACCATTATGGAGATAACTTCGTTAGTGTTATAGGACTTACTTGGTTGATGTTACACGGGTTACTTTGTCAATATTATAGTGGTTATCCACTATCCAGTCAATGTTAAAAATTACTTGATCAATGTTATAGGGGATACTTCGTTCGGCCACATGGTGTTGTTAGTTGTACTCATAACACATTGTAACTTTATTAGTCTATTAACATATTTCTTTCCCTTTCTTTGAATTTTTTTTTTTTTTTTTCACTATATATTGGAATGACTCATTTTGCTTTTATCTAGAATATAATAAAAGTAAATGTAACATGGGTAAGGGTAATATATAACGAACTTTTATTAAGGGATAAGATACTTGGATCAAAGGTGACTTTTATTTAGAGAATTAACACGCCCCAAAGTTGCTTACTTGCATGGGTGAAAAACCTAGTAAAGCTATTATTGTTACTAACCTTGAATGAATTTGGTCATGAAATACAGAGTAGGATTCGCTTTATCTGTCTTAGTTGAGGAGCCTGAGGTGGTTTAAAAAATTACTTCATTAGGTTGTAACTTTGGTACGATTTGTCCATGCCTTGGAAAACTAAACTATACTGTAATTCAACTTCTAAGCAATATATTTTGCCCTGTTGAAATATATTGGTATTTGGTAGTTTTTTTTGGTGTATACTGAATGTTATAACTTGAGCAGCCTCACACCCAAAGCGACTGCTTCAATACCACTTCGCAGTGGTCGATTGGTTGTACAATCTAGTAAATGGAATTGTTTTGCCAATCAAGTATAAACCTTGTTTGCAATACTGAACACTTCAGATGAGTATAGAGGTATAAAGTAGTGCAGACAGATTAATTACTAACTCAGCTGCCATGTCGAAAAAACAGGTCTCATGGTGGGGATATCCTTTTGCTTCTTTCTTCCTCTCAAAATCAGTTGTGCTCATGACTTCGCACCTCTTACAAGTCTACACCAAGGGAGAATGAGAACATGCCTCGAGATTAGTACTGCAAAACAAAAATAAGAAACCATCAGTCCAAATTGGCATGCTATACAAATACATTTGAGTAGGAAAGCCTAGTAAAATATACAAATACATTCAAGTACGAGTAGATCCTTGTGTCCACTACAATGAGATTGGGCAACATGTTTTAAGAAGCCAGGCTGGTTGGATGTATCTGAAATCGCAAACTTAGCCAGCTTCGATTGATCTCTAAACTTGATGATTTTGACCCCTTTTGCTTCTTTTCTTCTTCTTTTTATCAGAATGAAAAAAGGAGAAGAAATTACAAAAGACGAGCAGGTGAAAATGATTTGATTCTGGGCTTAAAACTACGTTATGTGACCAAATCATGAATTCAGTTCAGCATATTCTTAGTGACCTGAAGAACCAAATTCTTGATGAAATGGTGAATTCAATGGCTACTTATTCTGCAGAAAGCTGGAATACGCCTGAAGAAATTCAATTTACATATCACAATTTACACGCCTGGTTTAGATAGTAAGGTATAGTTTAACTTGAGCTCTTATTCAAAGAAATCAAATGCAACTCACTGGCAGATAACAAGTTAACACACGCAAATGGAGGCAAAATTTATAGGTTAATCCACATCTGTTTCCATGAGCACCATTCCAGTAAAAGCAAGCCCAAAGATTAGTAAAAAACAATTGTTACAGATCACAGATATTAAGGTCTTTTCCTACAATCAACAATCAAAAGTTATAACATTAATTATATGACTTGCTGGTCACAAGTCACAATATCTGTTTTTACACATCTCTGTCCAACTGATCATATACGCTTTCGTCATTACACCTTCCACCTTCACTTCTAACTATCGCTCACTCAGTTCTCAAAAAACTTTTTCAGCAAAACCTTGTCTGCATCACCAATATTTGGATCAGTGAGTAAGCTCACCAATGATGATACTGTGTGATTATCAGCGGCAAACTCTTTTTTTCTCATTAAGCTGATAAGCTCTAAAGCTCTCTTAACATCCTTTCCATCTATAAATCCTCTAATAATTGTATTGAAAGTGCATTCATTTGGAAAGCATCCATTGTCCTCCATATTCTTCAGTAATTCATCGGCTTTTGCTAGCAACCCTTCTTTACAAAACCCTTTTATCATTATGTTGTAACCATACACATCATGCAGCCCTCTAGCTGTGAGAAAGGAGAAGATGTCCATCGCTTCTCTAAGGCCCTTAGCTTCACAGAAACCATCCATTAGGATACTGTATGTAATAATATCAGGGACCACTCCAGTATTCCCCATTTGCTTCACTGTTGTAATTGCCTCGTCAATTTGTCCATTCTTACACATGCCATCAAGGAATGAATTCCAAGCTATTATATCTGGTTTCAGTCCATGAGCTTTCATATCCTCAAAATGTCCCGTGCTTCACCAACCTTGCCATTACAGTGCATATCAATCAACATGTTGTAGGTCTCAGTGGTAGGAGGTATGTTGTTCCCCAACATCTCCGTCAGCATTTGTTGAGCCTCTTTCTGTTGCCCCAAAGTGCACATACCACGTATTAAGGTAGTATAGGTGACAACATCAGGGGAAATTCCCTTGACTTTCAGGCATTATCACCGGACCTACAGAGACCTTTGAAGATAGAACCATAGGTGATTAATGTGGGTTGGTAGCCAAGCTTGAGAATTTTATCCAATAAAGGAACGGCTTTGTCCAGTTGATTAGAGTGAATAAAGCCGTTAATGAGGGTATTAAAGGTGACAATATCAGGTTGATAACCAAGCTTAATGGTATAAGAAACAAGGGACAACCCAAAATGAACATAGCCTAAGCGACAGTAACAATTAGCCAGAATGTTAAGGGAATAATTATTTGGACGAAGACCTAAGAAAAGGAGGTCTCTGTAAAGAGAAATGACAGTGGAGAAAGGTGGGTTGGGTTTAATCTTACAAATGGATGATAACAGTTGATTGAAATCGACAATATCAGGAAGTGGGCGAATCAATTTCATATGATCGAAAAGAAAAAGGGGGATTTCAGCATTAGTAAACCCTAATTTTGATTGCTGTCTAACAAATTTGAGAAACAATTTGGGGTCATCAAAATCAACATCAACAGCAAACTCTTTGATTCTCATTAAGCTGACAAGCTCTAAAGCTCTCCTAACATCCTTTCCATCTATAAATCCTCTAATAATTGTATTGAAACTGCATTCATCTGGAAAGAATCTATTGTCCTCCATATTCTTCAATAATTCATCGGCTTTTGCTAGCAACCCTTCTTTACAAAACCCTTTAATCATTATGTTATATGCACGCACATTAAGTAGCCCTTTAGCTATGAGAAAGGAGAAGATGTCCGTTGCTTCTCTAAGGCGCTTAGCATCACACAAACCATCCATTAGAATATTGTATGTAACAGTATTAGGGACCACCCCAGTCTTCTCCATTTGCTTCATTGTTGCTATTGCCTCGTCAAATTGTCCGTTCTTACACATGCCATCAAGTAATGAGTTCCAAGTTATTACATCTGGCTTTAGTCCATGAGCTTCCATTTCCTTGAAAAACTGGTGTGCAAGCTTGAGCTGATTGTCCTTGCACAAAGCATCTATAAGGGTGTTGTACATGATAACATCAGGGGTTAATCCGTTACAATGCATTACTTGGAGCAGACCAAGAGCTCTCTCAATCTTTTTAGACTTGCAATAGCCATTGATTAAGCTGCTGTAAGTAACTACATTAGGTTTGCAGCCATTTTCAACTATCAAATCCATAAGCTTTTCTGCCTCATCCATCTCACCGCGTAAACAATATCCATCTAACAGAGTGGTATAAGTGATGATATTGGGAACCAAACCTCTCTTGGTCATGTATTCAAAAATGTCCCGTGCTTCACCAACCTTGCCATCTTTACAATAAATATCAATAAATATGTTGTAGGTCTGTATGTCAGGAGTTATGTTATTCCTTAACATCTCAGTCAGCATATCTTGAGCCTCTTTCTGTTGTCCCAAAGTGCACATACCTCGAATTAAGGTATTAAAGGTGACAACATCAGGGGAAATTCCCTTGACTTTCATCTCCTTGAAAAGGCGGAGAGCCTGAGGTAATAACTAGTCTTTACAGAGACTATCAATTATGGTGTTGTAAATTAGGCATAGAATGGCCATAAGACTCCATATTTCTGAGGAGTTTGAGAGCACCGGCATTATCACCGGACCTACAGAGACCTTTGAACATAGAGCCATAGGTGATTAATGTGGGTTGGTAGCCAAGCTTGAGAATTTTATCCAATAAAGGAACGGCTTTGTCCAACTGATGAGTATGGACGAAGCCGTTGATGAGAGTAGTGAAGGTGACAATATCAGGCTGAAAACCAAGTTTAATAACGTTGGCGAGAACAGAGAGCCCGAAATCGACAAAGTCCAAACGACAGTAGCAATTAGCAAGGATGGTAAGGGAATAATGATCAGGACGAAGACCTAAGAAATGGAAATGTCTGTAAAGAGAAATGACAGTGGAGAAAGGTGGGTGGGGTTTAATCTTACACATGGATGAAAAAAGCATATTGAAATCAATAATAGCAGGAAGAGGAAGCATCGATTTCATACGGTGAAAGAGGGAAAGGGGAAATTCAACATTAGTAAACCCTAATTTGGATTGTTGTCTAACATAATTGAGAAACAATTTGGGGTCATCAAAATCAAAATAATTGGATTGTTTGGAACGATGAAAGTAAAATCGGGAAAAATAGAAAGAAGAAAAGCAGGAAGAAAAAGGGGAAAAAGGAGGAAGACGAAGGTAATTACCAGAAGAAGAGGAAGATGTAGAAGCAAGCAAAAGTAGAGCTTTGCTCCTCATCATCGTCTGACCGTCAGTCCTGAGACAAGAACACTGAACACCTGCTAGTGTTGTACTGTTGGCTACTGCGAAAATTGTAATGGAGGAAGAGGATGAACAAAAAAAATACTTCCATAAATACTCCGTATAAACTTATTCCTTTTATAAATTAACAATCATGCAAATATTTACTCAGTACAGACTAGTAGACTACTTTCAAGGGTTGTTTCTTGTTTGACATGAAATAAGAATGCATTACCTAAACTGGCTCTATGCCCATTAATGTTTGTCCTTTTTGTATTTTTCATTTGGTAAAGTTTTCTTTTAATGCGTAAAATTTAATGATTTTTTATGTAATAAAATCTTTGGAAAGCTAGTGGAAAGCCTCAATCTTTATTCTCTTTTAAGCCTTTTGTTTTTTGTTATAATAATGTCTCCCTCGAAATAAAAGGTGTAAAATGTTAAATTCAAAATGTATTAACTGAAAAACAAAAGTAATATACTTTGCATATCACACTGAGTATACTACTATTTCACAAGTCAACACTTGAGAGTAGAGGGTGGAATCGTGGAGGTAAGGATCCCGTGTAAATCTGTGAAGGTGAGTTCCCCATCAGCTTAATACCAGTACGGAGTAATATGGGTACTAGTATAATACGGGGTACTATAGGAGTATAGGGTATGCTACGGAGTACAATACATTAGATTTTGACAAATTTAATCTTGCTCTTATACTTCGTATATTCATTTATATTCTTTCCGTTTGGAGCTCTTCACTTATAAGCTGCGCCTTTATCTCCTCCATTGAAGGGTACTCTGATTTCTCCATTATAGCGACTTCTGAGCTTTCTCTCCTCCATTGAAGCACCTTCTCATGTATGATTTTATTTTTCAATTTTCTTTTTATCATTGAATATCATTTTCACACTATTGTTAATTTAGTTTTCAGTATAGTCAATTAGGGTTCTTTTTTGGTGGACTATTGAACTAATGATTATAATTACTAAATATATGAAGGTTTGTAACGAGCTTTTTTGTTGCTAGAAATCGTTGATATTCTTAACTAAGATGAATCTTATTCGATTTTTGTAAGCCTAATTTGATAATTGCGTCGAATTTGGTTGCTAATGTGTTGCGGGATTTTGTTAATAACCCTTGAATGTTAGGAAATTACGAAAATGGATCTTTTCTACTTGTAACATGGCTCAGGGATGGAAATGTATGAATTTGGATTTACAAGATTAAACTACGAGTAGTTCATAATGTAAATTTAAAATCTTTAAATATTAGAATTAATTAACCAAAATGGGTATGTAAAAGGTAAAATCTTTGAATATTAGAATTAATTAACCAAAATGGGTATGTATTAATATGAAACTTAGAGATTAGGGAAATTTACAAATTTTCCAGAACAAAATATATGTATATTGATTTCAAAACATGAAGAGTTATTGGGTTCAAGTGTAATTTATTTGAAGTTATTGTATTTGCATAAGTGCAGACTGGAATAAGTAGTTTTGATATGTATTTTGGATTAGGCTATTTGATTTCATTGTATTTGTTTGAAGATTTTGTATTCGTAAGCAAGATTCTTGAATCTGCCACTAGAAAGCTTAAGCATTGTCAATGGCAAATGACGGTGAGAAGATGGAGGTAAAAGGAGAAGAAGAAAATGGACAAGTAGTGACTCCATGGGAAGTATCCGCCAAAGAAGGCGGCAAAATTGACTATGATAAACTAATCGACCAGTTTGGATGCCAACGTCTTGATTCTACTCTTATCGAACGTGTTGAACGCCTCACTGGTCGTCCTGCCCACGTCTTCCTCCGCCGTGGCGTCTTCTTCGCTCACCGGTTTTTCTTTCTCTCCTCTTTATATTTCTTCAATTTTGCTGATTAATTGTCTGATTTTTGGTGTTTGATTGATTTCCTGATGTTGCAGTGATTTGAGTGAGATACTTGATGCATACGAAAGAGGTGAGAAGTTTTACTTGTATACTGGTCGAGGACCTTCCTCTGAAGCGCTGCATTTGGGGCATTTGGTACCTTTCATGTTCACAAAGTACTATTTTCTATCTCCTTTTCTAGTTTTAGTAAAAGTTATTATTTCTGTGTTTGATAGCATAATTTTTCCTGAAATTGCTGTTGTGTAGGTAAAATTCAGCTTTGGTGATGAATTATGAGCTGATTGTAATATTTGTGTGAAATTAGTACTATATTGCTGTGTTGAGGTGTGGAATTTATTTGTGCTTCTGCACGGTGTCTTTAAAGGAATTTTAGGTAAATGAGTTATTTTTAAGTTTCTGTTATGCTAGGAGATAATCTTTCATTAATTTAAGGTAACTGAATTGGGTTTATTGTAGTGTTTGTGTAAAATTAGTACTACATTGTTGCCTTGAGGTTTAGAAATTTATGTAATTTATTTCTACTTCTGTTTTAGGTTAACCTAATTTATTATTGCGGATTGATTAGTAGTCTAGTTGGAATGGGAAAGGAGTAAGGAATAATAAATAATCTTTTCTCTCAATGTTTAATTTAGGTCTTGATTTTGATGTACACAATTAAAAGTTTGCTGAAAATGTTAATATACAGTGCATAAGCAACCATTATGCTTACAGTATATTCAATATTTCTTGATTTCTTGTAGATCAGTGTTAACTAGAACCGAGCCTTTTTGTTGATTTTTTCAAACCTTCTTTTTAGAGCAAGGCCACTGTTAGCGTGTGTCGTAGTATTTGTCACATTTATTGTTCTCTTTTTGGCACATTAAAATTACTAATACTTAAAGGGTATAGGTATCTACAGGATGCTTTTAAGGTGCCCTTAGTGATCCAATTAACAGATGATGAGAAATGCATGTGGAAAAACTTGTCTGTGGAGGAGAGTATTAGACTTGCACGTGAGAATGCCAAGGATATTATTGCCTGTGGGTTTGACGTGTCCAGAACATTCATTTTTTCCGACTTTAACTTTGTTGGTGGGTGAGTATTTCATTGATCTTACTTGGAAGTAACAAATATTCTTATTGCATCTTGGATCAATTTAGTCCCTTTGGGAGGCTTATAAATTAGGTAGTGATATGTTTTTTGCCAATGCAATTCACACTAAATCCAACTTCTTGTACAGAAAGTTCTATCAGAATATGATCAAAATTGCCAAGTGTGTCACACTAAACAAGGTAGATTTTGCTTTATGATTGGACTTATTATGCAGATGTTTAATTTATCACAGATCTTTGACATGGATTTCATGAGCTGATTTTGGATGGTTATGGCAGGTTTTTGGTATATTTGGTTTTACTAATGAAGATCACATTGGCAAAGTATTTTTTCCAACAACTGAGGTACTCTCTGCTGTCAATTTAAGTCTTGGCAATTGTTTCTTGAATTTTCCATAATGTCTCATGGGCTCTTGCCATTCAGAGTTGTGTTATCATGGTCATACTCTTTTGTTGATCTGCTTTCTTACTGGAGCCTTGATTTCCTTTATAATTGTTGCTTAAAATGGTCGAGTTGATACCCTGCCAATTGGCCCCTCTATGCTGTGCCATTGTCAATGTTATCCAATATTGTGTAATTAGGATGAGCTCTAATTAGAATTTTGGAGTGAAATGAGCTATTTCAAACTGTCTCCTGCATTCGTTTCTTATATAGCAAATCATTTGAATTTTTTTATTGATTGATTTTTGCTTCTAATACTTTTTGTGGGCGCAGGCAGCTCCTGCCTTTTCCAGTTCATTCCCTCACCTATTTGCTGGCCAAGATAACGTTCGGTGTTTGATTCCTTGTGCAATTGACCAGGTTGATTCTTTTTACCTGGTTTTATTATAATTTTTCTTTTTTCTTTTTATAAATTTGAATAATCGTTCATTCTGCTTTTACTAGTTTGCTTGTTTTGATTGGTTGCTTACATTTTGATTTGCATTGGGCCTCAAATCTTGTAATTTTTGTCTTGTTGAGCATTGACCAAAATTCCAGCATGATGTATGCAACGGAATACGCGTGATACTCAACAAATAGTAGAAGGACGGATTGTTTGATTGATTAAGCCAAAAGCTTGCGAAGGTTAAACATGGCTTTAGGCCATGACTCTCCAAGTATTCTCTACAATTTTCTGAATCCCCTCTCATACTAAGCTACTACTTCTTATACTACCAGTACACTACTCGAATTGGCTATATTGCCTTAATTAATACAATTACTATTTTCTTGTCTTCTTACTACTTTAGTGCAATACAAACAACAATTACAAGTGCTTGTCCCCCCCCCCCCCCTGCTTTAGCCCTCTGTTTCATGTTGCTGCTGCCTCGGTGCGTTGTTGGTGTTGTTGCCCAGCCCTTGCTGTCCTCTCTGTCTCCTGTGGTGGGTGAGTGTCACGGGAGGAGGTCTTGGGTGCATTGCAACACTTCCCCCCAAAAGCAACACCTTGTCCTCAAGGTGGAAGCTTGGAAAGCTGGCCTTGATGGACTCCGCATCCTCCCATGTTGATTCAAACTCTGGCAGCCCGTGCCATTTTATCAGCACCTCCAATCCATCGGACCCCCTTAGCTTAGGTCTGCTGTCCAACACTTGTTCCGGCTCCACCACTAATTCCAGCTCTGGTGTGAGTTGAGGAGGAATGGTGGGAGAGGTCGGGCTCGCACCTGGTGCTTGTTTCAGTTGGGACACGTGAAACACCGGATGAATCTTACAATCAGGTGGAAGCAACAACTTATACGCCACCTTCCCTATCCTTTGCACCACTTCAAACGGTCCATAATATCGTGCGGCTAGCTTCTCGAATGGTCGCCTTGCCAAAGAGCGTTGCCGGTAAGGCTGTAGCTTAAGGAACACACGATCCCCAACCCCAAACTCTAATTCCCTGCGTTTACCATCCGCATTGGACTTCATCACCTGCTGAGCCTTAATTAAATTAATTTTCAACTCATCCAAAATTAAATCTCGCTCTTGCAATATTTCCTCGGCTGTACCTACGACAGACTGCCCATACCCCACCCTCACAAGGCGTGGAGGGTCACGCCCATAGAGCACCTTGAAAGGGGACATGTGAGTTGAAGAATGAACGGATGTATTGTAAGAATACTCGGCCCACGAGAGCCATCTAGCCCACGACCGTGGCTGTTCGCCTGCGAAACACCTAAGATAAGTTTCCAGCCACTTGTTAACCACCTCGGATTGCCCGTCCGTTTGCGGGTGATAGGACGTACTCCGCTTAAGATCTGTACCCTGTAAACGAAATAATTCTTTCCAAAAAATACTCACAAACACCCTATCCCGATCAGAAATAATACTACTAGGAATCCCATGGAGGCGCACCACCTCCCTCGCAAATAATTCCGCCACGCTGACTGCTGTAAATGGGTGTTTTAACCCCAGAAAATGGGCATATTTAGACAGTCTGTCTACTACCACTAATATCGTGTCCATTCCCTTGGATTTCGGCAGCCCCTCTACAAAATCCATCGTGATATCTTCCCATAACCGCTCCGGAATCGGCAAGGGCTGCCGGAGATTGCTGGGAATTCTTGTTACGCTGACAAGTAACACATTCCCTCACAAAATTAGCGGTTTCACGCCTCATACCCAGCCAATACCACTCTCTTGCCACCCTCAAATAAGTTTTGAACTCACCTTCGTGACCCCCTTCCGGCGAGTTGTGAAATGCCTGGAGTATCGCTGTCTTCATGGTCGAATTTTGCGGAATTACCAACCGCCCCTTGTATTTCAAACGACCACCCTCTAAAGTGAATCCCCGATATCCCTCACCCTGCTCTACAGCTCTTATCAGACCTTGCACCCCCGTATCACTATCAATTTCTCTCATCAAGGCCTCCCAATCCACCCCTTGCTCCGTGAGTAAAACACCTAATTCCACCTCCCCTGCAGCACCACCCCGCCGCGAGAGGGCGTCGGCCACCCGGTTAGCCACCCCGGGTTTGTAGCGAATTTCAAAGTCAAACCCAATGAGCTTCCGAATCCACCTTTGATATTCCATTCCCACTTCCCTCTGTTCAGTGATAAACTTCAAACTTTGTTGGTCACTCCTCACAATGAACCTTCTTCCCAAAAGATAATGTTTCCATTTTTCTACGGCCAAACACACAGCCATCAACTCTTTCTCGTAGATCGACTTCTCTCGGTTTCTCGGCCCCAAAACCTTACTATAGTACGCCACCAGTCTCCCCTCTTGAATTAAAACCGCGCCTAACCCGAAACCCGACGCATCCGATTCTACTATAAATGCCTTGGTAAAATCGGGCATAACCAATACCGGGGCTGAGGACATTGCTAATTTCAGCTTCATAAAGGCTTGCTCCGCCGCCTCGGACCACCCAAAGGAGTCTTTCTTGAGTTGGTCGGTGAGAGGTGAAGCAATTTGAGCATAATGGAAGATAAACTTCCTGTAGTATCCAGTAAGGCCAAGAAAACCTCTTAACTCTTTAAGAGATTTGGGAGTGGGCCATTGCAACATAGATTGGACTTTATCTTGGTCCACAACAACACCATCTTTTGAGATTATATGGCCCAAATAAGCCACTACACTTTTGCCAAACTCACATTTTTTAATATTTGCAAAAAGTGAGTGGGCTTTGAGAAGTTTGAGCACTTCTCTTACATGGCAGACATGAGCTTCCTGACTTGCACTATAGACTAATATATCATCGAAGAACACAAGCACGAACTTGCGTAAGAATGGCCGAAACACATCATTCATCAATGATTGAAATGTGGCCGGTGCGTTAGTTAACCCAAAAGGCATCACTAAGAATTCGTAGTGACCCTCATGAGTACGAAACGCGGTCTTGTGTGTATCCTCCTCCCTTACAAGTATTTGATGATATCCGGCCTTAAGGTCTAACTTGGTAAACACTTGTGCTCCATTCAACTCATCTAGGAGCTCATCAATTACCGGTATCGGATATTTATCCGGTACGGTTTCTTTGTTAAGGGCCCGATAATCGACACAAAAACGCCACGATCCATCTTTTTTCTTCACTAGCAAGACCGGGCTCGAGAAAGGGCTTGTAGACAGCCTAATTATGCCGGCGGTGAGCATTTCCCGTATCAATTTCTCAATTTCATCCTTTTGAAATTGAGGGTAGCGATATGGCCGGACACTAACGGGATTACTTCCTTCTTTGAGCACTATAGCATGTTCATGCCCCCTACTCGGTGGTAATCCATTTGGCTCATCAAACACTTCTTTAAAATTCCCTATCACCTCGTTCAAGAAAGAAGGGGCCACCTCCTCTTCTTTCTCACTCCCCTGCCTCTGCATTCGATTCACTTCTATCAACACTCCACCCCTTTGCTTCTTGATGGTTTTCACCATAGCTTTGAGGGTGATTCCTGACTTAGTAAGGCTCGGATCCCCCCTCACCGTGACTAACTTGCCGCCCACCGAGAAGCTCATCTCTTGGAGTTTCCACTTGGTTAAGATAGAGCACAATTTCTCTAGCCACTGTACACCTAAAATCATGTCCGAGTTTCCAAGTTGAAGAGGCAAGAACTCCTCTTCGATCTCCACATCCTCATTAAGCTTCAATTTAACTCCTAAACACAGCCTTCTCCCTCTGATTGTCTCCCCGTTCCCCACAATGGAATGCATAGATATGGCAGTAAGTGTAGCCTCTTCTTCATCCTCTTTCTCTTCGCAACTCTCCAATGCTGCCAATTCATTTCCCGTTTCATCATCCTCCACAAGTAAGACACTTAATCCCTTGGCCGCGCACACATGAGTGGGGCCCGTCCAGCGGCCGTCACACCGGAAACAAAGGCCTTTAGCCCTCTTCTCCGCAATTTCTCTCTCCATCAGCCGCCGTACCTAGCCGGAAAATTGGGTGGAGCTTGGGTGGTTACGGCTAGAAAAGGGTGGTGGGGAAAAAATCACCGAGGCTGCTGATCCCCGGGAAGTTTGATTCGTCGTGGAATTAGCTCGGTATTGGGTTGGGTTGGAATTTTGTGGATATTGGTTCAGGTTGGAATTTTGTGGGTTATGTTGGTTGGTGGGCTGGTGTGATGAAGGTAAGGTTTGGGCTGGCCAGCCCCAAGAAGTGTGGACGCGGGGCTCCGATTGAAATACGAATATGGGCCGAGTTTAGCATACACTCCACCTCCTTTCTTCAACCCATTAACCTGATTTCGCTCTTCTACCCGGACCGCGAGATCCATCGCATCCTCCAACGTTAATGGGTTAAGCATACGGATCTCCGATTTCACATCCTCCTTATGCTCGTGCAAGGTGCCGGTGTTAATCATACGGGAAATGAATTGGCAGCATTGGAGAGTTGCGAAGAGAAAGAGGATGACACTTAATCCCTTGCACGAGCAGTGGTTGGCCGTCACGCAGGTCGGCTCAGTGGTTGCCAATTCACAAACTGAGCTTTCATTATGCTCTCCGGAATATCCGAACAATGGTGAAGCCTTCTCAATGAACGCCTTTCGATACTCCACCACTGAGCCGACCTGCGTGACGGCCAACCACTGCTCGTGCAAGGTGCCGGCGTGAATCAGTCGGAATTGTGGGAGGACGCGCAATTTCATATCCTCCCAACTCATCACCGGTCGCCGACGATGCTCCCACTGGTACCATCTCAACGCGTCACCATTCAAGGCCATCACGGCCGCCTGAATCTTCTCCACTTCCGTCAGGCGATAGAATTGGAAATATTGCTCCACTCGCAAAATCCACCCATCTGGGTCTCCACCATCAAACAACGGCATGTCAAGCTTCCTGAACTTCCAACTACCTCGCGCTTCTAGCTGGTGGTTGTTGTGGCCAGGGTCGGTACCGTGCAGGGGTTCCCAATTGCCGATTCGTATACCATTAAAGGCCCCCGTCTCTAACGTCGGATCATTGAATCCGCCTCTTAGCGGTGGCTGCTCTACCTCCTCATCAATCGGTATCGATTGTGGGTTAGGTTGCGCCTTCAAGGCTTTGAGGGTGTTGCGTATCTCCTCCAAGACCTTGTCTTGGCGACTCGTCATCATGTGCAGCTGCTGGTTAATATCTTGCCTGAATTTGTCCATTTTTCCATGCTCCCTTATCCTCAACTTCTCCATGGCGTCTTCCTGTTGCTTCAGCAAGGTTCGTTGCAACGAGTTCTCCCCCTCTCCTAACTTCTCAAGCACCTCCTCCACTTTTTCCTCCAGCGCCGCCACTCGTTCCGGCGTCACTGTTAGCGGCGTCGGCGGCATGGTTGCTCTGATACCAACTGCAACGGAATACGCGTGATACTCAACAAATAGTAGAAGGACGGATTGTTTGATTGATTAAGCCAAAAGCTTGCGAAGGTTAAACATGGCTTTAGGCCATGACTCTCCAAGTTTTCTCTACAATTTTCTGAATCCCCTCTCATACTAAGCTACTACTTCTTATACTACCAGTACACTACTCGAATTGGCTATATTGCCTTAATTAATACAATTACTATTTTCTTGTCTTCTTACTACTTTAGTGCAATACAAACAACAATTACAAGTGCTTGTCCCCCCCCCTCCCTGCTTTAGCCCTCTGTTTCATGTTGCTGCTGCCTCGGTGCGTTGTTGGTGTCGTTGCCCAGCCCTTGCTGTCCTCTCTGTCTCCTGTGGTAGGTGAGTGTCACGGGAGGAGGTCTTGGGTGCATTGCAATGTATGATTTAAGCTGAATTTATGATTGGGTCACGATGGGTTTGAACTTTTTTTTTTTTTGAAAGATGATGGGTTTGAACTTAGGGTTAGGACATTTTGGCAATTTCATCAGTGTTATCCTCTTCTGAATTTTCCACCCTTTTGCTTTTTCTTATTGAAGAGGTGTGTGTGTGCGTGGAGAGAGTGAGAGTGAATGTCTGGGCTATTTTCCTGAGTCCTGAAGGATGTCAAGCCCAGGTCTTGATTTGCTTAGTGTTCGAACAGGGGTCAGGGGCACTGCACTGTTAAGACCTTGGTGCAGAGGTGCAAGGTCCCTGGTATGTCTCTTAGATCGGACTTTGCTTTTCTAAACTCCAGGCTAGAGAAAGGCCTCTCAAGATTGCTTTACTTTTATCAAGGCTTTCGTTCCAGTCCCTGTGTCATCTGAAATTAACACCTGATAAAGGAGATCCTCTCCCTGATCCTCACGTTCGTTTTTCCTTACTAGCGACTAACCTATAACGCTCTGTTACCTGGTCTGATTGTTTATGTTGCAGATCGTTTTCTTAGGTTGGGCCTTGAAAGTGTCTATTCTTATTATTCCTCTACTTCTCTAGTTCTCTACTGAGACAAATTTGCCCTGCTTTCCATTTTTCCAGGATCCTTACTTCAGAATGGCAAGAGATGTTGCTCCTCGGATAGGATTTCAAAAACCTGCATTGATCGAGTCTTCCTTCTTTCCTGCACTTCAGGTAATTTTGACACATGATATGAACAAGTCTTGTGCTTTTTGAGGAGTTTATGGTCATGATGTTTGGGAAATTTAGGATTTTAAGAGATTTAATTCATTGTATCATACTAGTGTTTTTAGTCATTCTGATGAAATATGAATTAGTTTCTGTTTCGTGAGAATTATTGAGAATGGCGGATAAATTATTACTTAATTAAATTTCTTGTTCCTAGGAAAAAATTATCTGGTATTACTTTGGCTAAAAATATCCTTATTATTATGCATAGAAACAACTTGCCTTGCTAATTTCTGTTCTAGTTGGTCTCTGATTATAAGGTCTATTAGAATGTATTCATATATACACACATGATAAATAAGGTCTATTAGAATGTATTCTTATATTTGCAGTAGCTCCATGATACTCCCTGCGTTCCGTTAAGCTTTTTTGCATTAACTATAGTGGGAGCTGGTGGAAAATTGGTCCCTTTTGACTTTTTGGATAGAAAAGAGAACGTTGTTTAGAAACATGGATGTAATTTAATAGATTTAGTGGACCAACCTGATGGGGTAAGGAAGAATAAAAGAGGTTTTTTTTTTTTTTTTTGCCAAACATGATATTATGTAAAATAAGAACATGGACTTTAAGGTATCAGGTGAAAACTTAACAGTGATGAGGGAGTATATGATGCCATGTATTACTATGCTTTTTCAATAGTGCGATAGTTTGTTTTATTTTAGTTGAATGATTGTTCACCTATCTAGCACAAATCATACAACTCCACTGTATTACTGTCTCTAGGTCGTTTGGATGGTAGGTCGGGGCTCATTGGTGGAGCACCTGTCTGAAGTTTTGGGAATTTATGTGTTGAAAATTTATGCTTTTGTTAAATGCAAATTGGGTAAAGTCATATTTCTACTGTATCTGTAATTTGTATACTTGGCTGTGGAATGTTTTTTTTTTTTTTTTTTTTTTTTTTTTTAAATTTTTTGTTTTTGTTGTTTTCTTCTCATTAGCCAAAGCTTATACATGTTTATTAGTTGGATTTCTCCATACCAATTTCATGTTACTTCTCTTCCCATCCAAAAAAAAAAAGATGTTACTTCTCTACAGGATTATTTGTTATGAATACGACTTCATGCTTAGAATGAGAAACTCTTTAATTGCTTTGAATATTTCAGGGCGAGGCTGGCAAAATGTCTGGAAGTGATCCTAATTCTGCCATATATGTGACTGATACAGCAAAAGACATCAAAAATAAGGTTTGTAATTAACTCTTCAGCCACTACCTTGTAAATCTTTCTGGGGCACTGAATGAATAATATGTCAAACTAAGCTGTAACTTTATAAATATCTAAGGGAAGAAGGCATTCCCCATTGTTAAGGAGGAATATATGCGACTATATATCACCTTGAGCGGTTGGATCACAGGGTTATAAGATGTTTCATAGGTTTAGAAAAGAGTTATCAGGACTAAATACATTGATCCTTATGTCTAATAATTCAGAATGAACTAGTACTCTCCTTTTTCCTAATAATAGGGTACATTTGATCAGGGGTCATTTTTTTATGAAATTGAGTTAAAATGCCACAGCAATACTTCATTTTATTTAAAATTAATTACTTTCTTTATCATGTAGACAATATTTTTGCATGCCTTATTTTAGGGGGTTGTTTGGTTGCCAAAGAAAACCATGGGAATTTGGAAATCCTAAGAATTGAAATTTTTTGAAGTTGTTTGGTTAACAAATTCATAGGAAATAGAAATTCCCATGAATTTCCATTTCCCACAAAATGGGGGAAGTTAATTACCTAGGGGGACCTAGGTAAGTGGAACTTTCCATGGGAATTTCCACTTTCCTTAGTTAACCAAACAATATTTAGAATTTCCTTGGAAGTTCAATTTCATGGGAAATCAATTTTCCAAGGAATTTGCAATTCCTACATTCAACCAAACGAGCCTTAGAAATGTGGTCTATTATTCAAGGATGAGGTATCCAAAACTATTTTGTAGGGAAGGGGTAGGAGTGTTTAAGTTCTTCCTGGATAAGTATATCTGTAATCCCTAAAGGAGCTTATGCATGGCTATCCTATCTTGCTAAGTACTAAGCTTTAGCACTATTTCATCTGCTTTATTTTTAGATCATTAGACTCTCTTTTGCTGCTGCAGGTGAATCGATATGCTTTTTCTGGCGGGCAAGATTCTATTGAAAATCACCGAAAGTATGGAGCTAATTTAGAGGTACTTCGCTGTTTTTTTTTTTGTTTTTTTTGTTTTTTTTTTTGCTTACTGTATTGGATTAGTGACCTGTGCTAGAAGCTGAAAAGGTTCTCACTAGCTATTTTGGGAAACCATGATGTATTTGGTGATGATAGTAGTGTCATGGAGTACAATGATGTTACTTTCATCTTTTTAATCGTCAATCCTGTTTTTGGTAGCTATTCTTTATCCAACAGTACAACATGTCTTATTATTGTAGGCCATTGCTGCATCCATGTACCTAGAAGAATGGCATATAATATTCCTTTTTTGTAATAGACTAACTTGGAGGGGTAGTATAGGTATTCTAGTTTTATTAGTTTATTAGGTTTAATAGTCCTTAGTATAAATAGAGAGGTAAGGGAAGGTAATAGAGAGGCAGAATTTTGGAGTGATTCCTTAGGAGAGTTGTGACCTCAAGTCACTATTGGAGCTTTGTAGGCTAAACCTACTACTATCGTCTATAAGAAACCATTAATTTGTTTAATCAAATTTCTGAGTTTTCTTCTTCGCTGTACTGTTATTATATCTAGTAATATCAGTCCCTTACATTTTTCTTTTGCTGTACCGCCTTTTTATGTTTTTATTTAAAGGAGTATGTGCTCATTCTATTTTGTTATTCAAAGGATTTGCTCTTCAATGTTTGTACAATTTTTTTGCTCTGTTGGTGTCCTCTTTCCTTGTCTGTATATTTGTTCGCTGTAATGGCAGGGTGAAGTGTAATTTTAAAACTAGAATATGTTGTATGTGATGGTGAACTTGATACTTTGTTCTAGCTCTAATATATAATATTGCTCTCATTGTAACCAGGTAGACATACCAGTCAAGTATCTGGGATTTTTCTTGGAGGATGATGCTGAGCTTGAGCACGTTAAAACAGTAAGATAATCATCACATTGGTCCAATCTAGATCCTTTTTACAATTGGGACTTGCACTTTTTATCATCAAATTTCTTCTTCCTCCCGAGAAAATGCTAAGCTTTATTCCTCAGGAATATGGTGCTGGAAGGATGCTGACAGGTGAGGTAAAGAAGCGGCTCATTGATGTTTTATCAGAGATGGTTGAAAGACATCAACGAGCTCGGGCTGCTGCAACTGATGAGGTGAGCTTTTTATGTGGAATTGCTACCTTCTAATCTGAATTGTTAGGGAGGTTTTCCTGTAATGTTTTTTTTTTTTTTGGGTGAAATTTTTGTAATGTTGTTGATTGTTCTGAAAACACTCAAACAGCACTGCAGAAACAGTGTATTGCAGGTGATGACTTGTTATTTGCCGTGCTTTTTGATATATAGAAAGTAATCTGAGTTCCACTAGCAGTTAAAATGTATATTATAGTTTTAACTTGATTGTTCTTTCTATAAAAGTCAATAATAACCAAATACATCTCTACAAGATCTTTTAGTGTAGAAAAGCAACTTTAGTCATTGTATGCCTGTATGGATGTGGAGTCCTCTCCTTGATTTAGAATTAAACACTTGTAGTAATTGTGTACATGATGACTTTCACCTGTTAGATGATACTGGTGGAGTTCATGGTTGTCCTTGTTCCCTTGTACTTGGTACCTGTGTAACACTACCCTCAAACATATTTCGTATAAACAGAAGAACTGGGGTGATAATAGGGTTACTATGTGGTATGACTTAGGAAAATTGTTGAACCAATTGGTAATCATAAAATTCTGTGGTCATTCTTTATCTCTCACTAACCTGTACTCGAGTTTCTGGTTACTTCTAATAATGTCCCCTTTAAAATTGTCAGCTTATGTCTGCTTGGATTTACTATTTACTTGTTTTACAACAAGCTCGTGTAATCGTCAAATTATCCTTTTCTAACATTGCTCTTTTGACTTCCAGATGGTGGATGCTTTCATGGCCGCGAGGCCTCTTCCTCGCATGTTTGACTAATGGGGGGAAACCAATGGAATTTTTGTTACAAGTGTGAAATTTTGCAATGGTTACTGGTGTTATACATTTATTTATGTAGTCATTCAGAATCGAAGGATTTTGAGTAATTGAAGTCGTACTCGTACATATACATCAATCTTGAAGCTCTGATATCCAATCCATGTTGGCAGCCACATGGTGACGCTAAACAGTTGATTCAATGGATTATGTGGGGAAATCATATAACCCAGTGTTTTTCTCTGCAATCTTCAGTAGAGAAGTAGGTTGCTATCAAGTTTTCTTCATAGTTTACGATATCCTGAGGAAGCTTGATACCACATTGCGCCTTATGGCCTCAACAAGGAAGATAGCCTTTAGTTTGCCAATCTATGAAAAGTAAACTGGACATGAAACTCCAATGTTTCTTTATATTTGATGTTCTGAACAAGGACAGGCATGGACGTATTTTATCTAAGAGCAAGCCAAACACTGGATATATGTTAATGACTTTAACTCATTTTATACTTCCTCAGTTCATCAGGGCTTATTTATTTATTTAACCGTTTTCTTTTTCACCAAAACCAAGATTTTGAACTGCGTACTCGTATAAATTTTGAGAGATAAAGGAAGATGGAAATTGATGAACATTGAGTCACTGAACTTCATGTAACAGATAAACAAATTCCTTTTTTTCTTTTTCTTTTTAAATCCAAACGAGCAACGAGGGCAAAAACACTAATATGTGAATTGTATTTAAATTCAGTTTGAAAGATAAGTAAACATTATGATACAATTGTCCAGTTAGTTACCATAAAACATTATGTCACTGTCTAAGTAGAGGGTTTGTAATCCAAGTTCATAATGGTGAGGAACATTAATACAGTTTTGTCCACTTTGTTAGGAATGTTGCAAAGCTCAGCAATGTTAAATTCAATTATTAGCAGGGCAACTGACTCTAATGTGTGAATTTGCTCTCATATACAAGCAGTCGCACAGTATCATATTCAGAGCTTGTACAATCGTACGGAGGGCAGCCGAGTCTTCCTAGAGGGATGTTATGCACGAGCACAACCATACTAGGCTGTCTGAGTTCACTTATTTCATGTTTGTACTCTCCATCTCACAGTTTTATACTCCGTATATGGTTAGTTTCCACTTTCCAGTAACCTGAGTTGAAGCTCTGATTCTTGTACACAGTCTGATAAAAAGCTGACATTAAGTCAAGTTGAAAGCTCCACAAATTAAATCTTTACAACTGTTGACAGTCATTCAAGGACACAACAGTACTACCAATTCTACAACAATCTGGGAAGATGTACAAAGTAATATAAAATCAAAGTTGCAATGTGCATTTCTTTTGAGAATGCCCTAGCATATGGCAACGGCCACACTGAACTACTCTTTTCGGCCGTTTTAAATTCTCTACACGCAACACCTTCTTCTTTGGCCTACCAGGCGGTCGTCGAGTTTTAGGCGGCCTAATTACAATGTCAAGTTTGGCGCCTCCGCCTTCTGCCATCCCCTCACCTTGCTCGTTCCACTGACTCTTATCAGGAATAGGCATTATTATCTGAGAATAAGCTTCCCTGTAGCTTGCAACTGTAAAACAATGCTCAGCAAACATATGAGCATTTTGCCCACAGGAGATGAGAGCAGCAGCGGCATGAGCACAAGGTATACCATAAAGTTGCCAGCGTCGGCATGAACAAACCCGAGCTCTTATATCCACAATGTTTGTACGCTCAGTTGACACAATTTCAAACTCAACCTCGTTTGCACGAAGCACTTGATAACAATGGGCATCTGCAATTGCTTCTGAGATCTTTTTCTCAGCAGATGGCACTAAAATGGAATCTAATCTCATGCCCACAGCACGCCTTTCATCAAACCATGTAACTAACTGCTGACGAATATGTTCCATCATTTGAACTATTGGAAGCTCATGACATTCAAGAGCCCAGTTATACAACAACTCTGTGATACTTAATGTGAAATGTCCATACCTAACTCCCTCAAAATATGCAACTGCCCAAAGTTGAGGCGGATACTGTTGGAACCATGTTCCAACATCTTGGTTCACCCCCATCATTTCAGATATCTTGCTTTCAAATTCAACTGCTGTTAGAGCATACACAGCATTCCAGAAGATATTCACCAACTTTGAATTCTTAAATGTATCGCGGAAATTTTCACTGATGAATCGCAGACAAAAACCATGGTAAGCACTTGGAAAATGTGTCTCCACTGCTTCAACCATGCCCCTTTGTCTTTCAGATAATATTGTAAGCCTAGGCATGTTCTCAGTATTGACTCCCAGAAGCTTCCGCAACTCTGACATGAACCACATCCAATTTTCATCACTATCTGTATCAACAATAGCAAATGCTACAGGAAATAGTTTATCATCTGCATCAATAGCTGCAGCACATAGTATTGTCCCCAAGTATTTTCCTTTAAGATGTGCTTTGTCCAGTTCTAAGAGTGGCCTACAAGCATTTATAAAGCCATATATCGATGCCCGATAAGAGACAAAGAGTCTTTGGAAGCAATTTTCAGGTCCTGTTGCAACAACTGTGGCAATGCTTCCAGGATTAGTTTTCCTGATTTGTTCACAGTATGCAGGAAGAAAACGATATCCATCTTCAAATGTTCCATGAAGGGCAGCCATACTACGTTCCTTTCCACGCCACGCTTGCATGTAAGATACAGCAACCCCATGTTGGTCACGAATATCTTGCAAAATTTCCTTGGGCTTGTATTGTGGATTGTCCTTCACTCGAGATTCTACTGATCTTGCAACCCAACCAACTGATGCTTGATGATGATGAAGATTACGAACTCCTTCACATGTGTGCTCTGTGTTCAGTGTTCTAATTGAAAAGGTAGGAACATTTTGACATTTTGCAACATGAACACGCCAAGGGCAGCCCTCCTTAGAGCACTTTGCTATAAAACGGCTGCGATCTGACTTAACTATTCGAAGATCAAAATGCAATGCTATCGCAACATCCTTCAATGCTCTTCGGCAAGTTTCAACATCAGGGAATTCTTGTCCAATAGCTAGAGAATGATCGAGTATTAGAGACTGATCGAGTATGAGAGAATCTGGAACAGTCAACTGATTATCAGCCATAAATCACAGGGAACGATAATTTTTGTGTTTCTGAATGCTTCTATTGATAAGCAGTCACTAACTCAAACAATTACCAACAGACTCTCATATGACGAAGTTAACCTGTAATTAATACAAGACAGAAACGGATAAGAATAATCAAACAAGACAATAATGAACTCATCCAAGAAACATCAGCTTTCAAAGTCGAGCTAACTGACATTACAAAACTACACCAGCTCCTTCATTCCCCATTCTATCCAACTATTTCATTTTTGTCTTCTTTGAAATTGTAAATTACATCAGCTTTCAAAGGTAAAGTTAAAGGAATGAAGAAAGACAATTGATCAATGATTTTTTTTGTTCGTATGCGTGTGTGTCAATGTGTGGGCAAAGAGCGGGAGGCTAAGATTTCAATTACCATAAATAGGCTAAGGCAAAAGAGTAGGATGCTAAGATTTCTAATCAAATGTGTTAATGTGTGGGTAAAAAGCAATAGGCTAAGCTAAGTTATGACATTTTAATCCCAGTTGTTCATATTACGACTTTCTGTTGAACCTTTATTAACATTCAACACTTCAGACTAACAAAGTGTTTCAATGTTCACAGCTAAAAGCTCTGTTAATATCCTCCCTCAACAAAATTCAGTGAAAACGCGAAGTTCATATCAATTGCTCTTAATTCAGTACCATAGTCTCAGTATAATTTTAGTTTCAATTACAATGTATTTCCCAAACGATGAAAATTAAGCGCTCAATTACCCCTCTACCATTTGAAATAGTTCCACATATCCCCTGTTATACCAGTTTCTTGTTCTACATTAGTGTTTGAAGTTAAATCCACCCTATTTCGTATCGATTCGCTCCCGAATAATCCTTATAATCACGGGATTGCAAGTAATCATACCCTATTTTATCTTAATCTAGCAACCCATTAAACTATGATGCATCAACAATCAACCATAATAATATTTACCATTTTTCAAATTTTCAGCAAGAAAATAGTGGGAAAATCCAATCTTTTGAGCTTCCCATATATATAAATTCAGTATCAAATTAAAATTTACAATTTTCACAACACTTTAAAATCACTGATTACAACCCAGAAATAATTATAATCAACCATTATCAATAAATTTCATAAACAATGTTGTCAGCAAATAATTAAGCTAAAATACAAAATAATATTCGTTGAATTAATTAAAACCCTAAAAATGAGAAAAAGGGAGGAAAATAGAAAGCTAGAAAATAGAGTGTGATAGTACCAGGTGAGAACGGAGGGTCGAGATTAAGCTCCTGCAACTCGGGAATTAATTGGAGCCGTTGATCGAACTGGAAGTTTGGAGCAAAGTTATGAATGGGAGAAATCGGAGTTTTATTAATGGGGGAAGAAATTGCAGAAGAAGTGGAGGAGAGAGAAAGATTCCGACTAACCAGAAAAGGGCAGATATATCTTAAATTAGGGCTGTGGGTAGGGGTATTTTCGTCCTTTCAATATTATACATTTGTGACGTGTGTATTTTTTTGTTGGGGTGTAAGAGCACTCATATCAGTGGGGATTTTTTTGCTCATAAGCAAAAATGGTGAGCAAATTTAGTAGAAACGGTACTACATCAATGAGGAAAATGAAAAATTCTCATGAGCATTTCAGAATTTGCTCATAGGATAAGCAAATTTCATGATGAATAGTAATCTCGTGGGCCCCTGCATTCATCCAAAATTGATGAGCAAAAATGGTAGAAATGTTACTAAATGAGCAAAATAAAATATGATAAGGAGCAATTCAATTATTTTTATTATCACTAGCGGGATAAAATTTCCTCACCAAAAATGCTCATGTGCAAATTGGTTGGGAAGAGAGAGAAAGTGGCTAGAGAGAGAATGAGCAAAAAAAATTTACTCACTAATGTGAGTGCTCTAACAATTTAGTAGCTAAGCAATTCCTATAGTACCAACAAAGTATTGGCTCACTTAATAAGATTTTTACCTCAAATCATAAAAATTTAGGGTCCAGATCCTACCAAGCGAGAGGGTACTTGAGGGAAGGAATTTTCATCTTACCCATCCCTCTACTCCCAAGCTAAGTGTCTAGCCTGCAAATACGTAACCAAAAAACTGTGAGGGTTAAGGTCTGGTCAAAGTCCTTGTATTACTGTATTAGACATTTGGACTTTGAAATACGAGAGTTTAAATATAGATTCAGACTCGAAGAATACTACTACCTTTATTTCTTATTATTAGAATGATGGGTAGAGATCAGAAAGACTCTGGACCGGATCTGAGTCAATTAACCAATGAGATCTTGGGTAATATTTCTAGTCTTTGGTCTAGTCTAGTCCAAAATTCTTTAAAAAAAGATCTTGCTAACTGGCGTATCGGGTGTTAAATAACTAATTAATATAATTTTATGTGGCTAGCCACAGTGCCACACGACGTGGCCGCATTGGTTTATAAGAGTAATTTTTATTTAAATATAAGTAACCTCATTTTTTTTATATAAGAGTAATCTCATATTATCCATAAAAGTAACTCAAATTCATTATATAAGTAAAATCAAGTAATTCATAAATAAGTAAACCCCATTTGTTCATTCAAGTAACCCCTATTCTTTTGTTTAATAAAATGAAGGAATATTTTCACATATTTAGGAGAATAATTCCTTTTTCTCATTTAAGTAACCTACATACGTTAAGGTAACCTCATTTACTCATCATTCACTGTAACCCCTATTACTAAATTTATTGCCTTATAGTATGTGATTATGTGAAGTGGTCACACCATGTGACTAGCTACATATAAGATTTTGTGATTAATATATTATCTAAATTAATACAAATATTAAGCTTGGAATGCATGCTAAAATCCCTTGTCGATCAGTGTTACAAATGTTTGTTTTACTTTAATATTACACTTGTACCTTTCTTATCTAACGTCTCATGAGTGCTCGTTAGCTTTTCCCTTGTCAATACTATAAAACAAAATTGAAGTTATTTAATTTCCGACTTGCCACATAAGTAGAACAAGTGTAGCTAGTGCTACTCTTAAGTACCAGGTGTAGTGGTGTTACATACAATTTCCCCAAGTTTGAGGAAATCCTATGAATTTAAAGAGTCATAGATTTTAACTGTTATACTTATAACAAAATTATGAGGTGTTCTAGCTCCAACTCACTTACTTTCTCCTTTAATTTTCTTAGTCACATACACATTCATATATGCCCTTGGAAGCTGACTGAACTAGTAACACTGGCTGAGTGGCTTAGGAAACTTGCTGCATATTTAACCAGGCCATTTTACACTACTAGTAGTAGTAAAATGTGCTGCTTTGTCATAGGCTGTATTGTAAAAGGTTTGATATAACTCTGAAACTTCCATGTTTTTTAAAGTGAAGCAAACGTGCTTTGGGCCTTTGGTATCCTCTTTATTTAATCGTTGCAATGCCGCCCTTGGCATGAAAGCTTCATAACTAGCTCTTTGACGACTTTCATTTGAGATTTCTCTCGTTTAAATTAACATACAAGCCAAGTAATAAGCTAATCATGTTACTAATTTCATTTCTGAAAAGCTTATAATGAGTTATATTTATGGAACATGACTCATATTCAAGGAACATCATATAATCACAACATAAAATCTCCCAAATGATCATGCAAATTGTCACATTTGGTAACATATACTTCGTATGATATATATCAAGCAATTAAAACAATAAAACTAGTTGATGTATTTTCCCTCCCTTTTATTCCTAGGCAATACTTGGTCTAATCTCAATTCCTTCAACAACCAAACCACCTTTCCAATTCCCACCCTTGATATCCAACACTTGCATCTCCACTTCTTCATCATCATCTCTCCCAGTCGAAAACTCCCCAATTTTGATCTCGAGCCATCCATCTGATCTATGCTTCGGAAGCTTTGCTTGACAATCAATCTCTCTTTTAGTCGTCGTCAACTGAGTCCATGACACAGGAGACATGAACTGGTTGAAACGCCTAGGTACAATATCGTACCTCTCCTTGGACTCCCAATAGAATTTGTCAGTTTCGCCTTTGCCTTCAGCAGTCGAAAGTGTTACCTCAGCCGGGGAGTAAAACCCGTACGCTTTGCTCTGCATCTTGTACACAAGATAAGCAGCATAATCTATGTTTGGAGATAACATTGATGTTTTTATATTCCCTTTGATTTCAAGCCAGCAGACAGTAACAAGTTCTGCTACTTCAGAAAACCTGTATACATTTTGCAGGAAACAAATCAATAAATTTTAACTCCTTAACTAACAAAGATAACAAATCTGAATTCTATAATCGTACCTCGAGTTAGGATCAGAATGCCATGTCCAATATTTTGGTGTATCACCCCAAACAATGGTCAGGTTTTTCGCAGATATGATGCAACTCTTTTTGCTCATTGATTTATCTAGTGAAAAATTCTGTTAACAAAAGAATTTTGATAGCTACATTAGATACACAAACACATAAAAATTTCATTAACTTAATTAGGAGAAGGAAAATCCAGAAGTCGGAGAGCTAATCAACTAGTCAAATGCTCTAGCCTCCTATATCGAACTCAACTATTGTTTATACGTTACAACTTACAAGTTGCAACAAGTCGTGACACGATACAAATTCCATACTAGGGCTCTAGGAGTAACATTTAGTCTCAAAGTATCAATTCTTTTGGAGTTTGCTATGAACAAGTACAAATTAAAGAAAGTTATGTAGCTAGCAAATAAACATATCATAAACAGTTAGAAAAAGTACAAGTCAAAAGCTTGATTATACATGAACCAAAGTTTTCATATGATTACATCCAATTACCTACTAATCTCTCACATAACTAAAAAAATCACCAAACAAAACTACCATGTCACATCGTGATATATTAAGAGACCGTGCAAAATCAAATGTTTTATAAGTATATAATCATAAGTAAAGGCGTGTTCAAGACAAGATACTATGAAAAAACGAGTAACAAAAAAATTGAATGACTATAAAAATTAAATAAAAACAATATCTATTCTCATGCAAAATCAATCATTAAACAAGAAAATTAGCCCAAAAATTGCAACAAAAAAAATCAAATCAAAATTAAAATACCAGAGCACCGTCATCGATGAGGAGGTTGTCAGCGAGATGCATGAAAAGTTTTTTTTTTTTTAAATATTTTCAAGAGAGAAAGATCCCAGTTAGCTAGAAAAAACCTGTAATAGGAGGTATTTTCGTCTACTAAAGCTTCTTTTTTAAAAAAAAAAATTTATTGAGATAACCCCATCACTAGGGCAAATAACGTACATATGAAATGTTTGAAGTGTGAGTGATGTGTGGGAAGGGTTTTTTTTTTTTTTTTTTTGGGTGTAACCTTTGCAATTTGTTAAAGCGAACTTATTTTTAATTAAGTTATTTTTTATGATACTTTTTCCTACTCCCTCCGTCCTTGAATGAACGTCTCATTTGGCCTAATTTTAGTCCCAAAAAGAATGACCCATTTGTTTTTCCCAACATCTATTCATCTCCCTTCCTTTTAAAAGTGCCAACTTGTCAATCTTGTGTATTTTAATTTTATTGGTTGTTGTAAAACAATACTTAGGGTCTGTTCTCATACATTGAAATTCAGTTCAATTCAGCTCAGTTCAGCTCCTAATTTCCTTCGCATTATTACATCATGTTTATTAGGCATAGAATAAAGATAAAAACTTACCTCTAGGACTTTCTCTATATATATATTAATTACAAATTATTGATGACTTGTGTTTTCATATACATTTGTACTTGCAAATTAAGTTTCTACCCGCGAAATCAACCCAAATGGGTCGTTCTTTCGGGGACGGAGAGAATACTAAATAAACTTATAATTTTAATTGGTGTTAAATTTTAACTCAATTTTTTTAATTATTCAAAAAATAAAAATAACTTAATATTTTAACTCAATGTTATTTTAAGTGCCTCAATTTAACTCTTTGCGTATTCACGTAATCCATTCTAAATTTCTACTAATGTTAAAGGATTTATACATAAAGAAAAAAATATACTCTGTATATATAATCACTTGTTGTTGATTTAAATCGTCTCAATGTATATATAGTTTCCAAATATCATAAAAGTTTTTTTAGTAATTTTTTTGGCATTGATACTGTTTCAAATCATACTTTGACCTCCGCTTTATTACATAATTTACTAATTTTTGGAAGAACATTTACACAATTTACTTTAACCTATGTTAATGATTTGTGGACAATGTATACATTTCAAATATGTGTATTTTTTAAATATATATTATATTTATTATTAATTAAAGATTTTATTGATCAAAATACTTATTGGACATACATGTTTAATCAAAATAAATCAGTTATTATAAATCATAAAAAAATAGCAGCCCATACTCCGTAATAATTAAAGTATTACATATCCACAAGACCACAACGTAACTAATCAAAATGGGATACTTCAAAAAAATAAAAATAAATAGAGTATATAATATATTAATATGCATGGCTTGCCAGTTGCCACGTACTTGAACAAGTGTTGCTACTGCAAACCTTGAATACCAGGTGTAGTAGTCTTACAATTCCCCCATTTTTGAGGAAATCGTATCAACTCAAGAGTCAGAGGTTGTAGCTGTTAAAAGAAGCATGAGGTGTCCAAACAACAAGTTAAGAGTCACTCACACAGTAATATAACCTACGCCCCTACAACAACACGGAGTAATTAAGCTGGCTATGTATGAGCCTATGAGGCTATCCTAGACACTGAGATCCCAACACTAAGCTTGACACATAATTTACTAAACAATGTACTTGTACTCTGTACTCCATACTCGGTCTGTTCTGAATTTATTCTGATTAACTGAACTGAATTGAAATTAGCTGAATTAAACTGAACTGAATTGAATTAATTGGAGCTAAACTGAACTGAAAATAATCTGAAAAAAACAAACCCTTAAGCTTGACACATAATTTACGAAAAAGATATACTACCTCCGGTCTTATTACTTGCAACAAAGAAATATTTTATGTCTCACAAATAATACCCCTTTGTTGCGAATAATAATAACCGGAGGTAGTATATTTTTTTCGTAAATTATACATGCAGTGGTACTTTTTGCCATTCTTTGTACTATTAAAGTTTAAGTTTGTTGATTATTTTTTCGTAAAATACCTATCACCAATTATGCTGTAGTGATATATTTTGTCATCCTATATATTTCTAAAACATATAAGCGCTATGCGCCAATATTTAACCAACGAGTTATATTCAGAGCATGACATGAGAATTCCAAACAAAGAAAGGAGCAAAAATAAGCTACTCATTTAAAGGTTCTTTTAAAAATGGTGGGTCATGAATCTATCATATCCAAGTGCCTTATTGAAGTAAGCTAGGTGATAAGTAGGGGTGGGACTTTTCAAATCAAACCGTAAAACCGCCTGTTACCGAATCGAACCATTACGGACCGATCCGTTTATAAACCGATAAATATAAACCGAAAACCGAACTGAACCGTTCAATATCAAACCGAAACCGAATTGAACCGCTCAATGTCAACCCGTTACGGACCGTAAACCGATAACAAACCAAACTGCGCAAATCCGAACCGAAACGAAACCGAACCGAATGGTTTATAAACCCGTTAATGACCCGAATCGTTTATAAACCGAAACCGTTTAAACCGAAAAAAAACCGTTTAAACCGAACCATTTGTAACCCGCTAACCATTTAAACCGACCCGTTTATGAACCGAAACCGTTTAAACCGCACGTATAAACCGAACCGTTATAATTCGCTAACTGTCTAAACTGAACTGCCATAACCCGTTAAACCGTTAAAATCGAACTGTTTTCGAATCGCAACCTGTTTAAACTGATCCGATTACAAACTGCTTAACTCAAATTGAATTATTTACAACCTAAATGGCTAAATAGTAAATACAATTAATGTTAATAAATGTATATCTAATCAAACGGCTTAGGTTTATACAAAGGTTTATCACCTAGATCTAGGCCAACGGCATTATTAATATCGTTTTAGATTACTTATTTATTTTAATTACAAGATATATCATTTGTATCATTTTCATTCCAGTAATAATGCTAGTCCACCCAAATTATCTTCATTGTTCCTTGATATTCATGATCATCCAATAACACTCAAAGCCTCAAAGGTAACATAAGATTGGAGATGTATGAGATTGCGTTACACAAGTGGCATAAGCATTAGAATATTACTGTACTAGTCAATAAGGCGTACAATCATTCACATTATCACTTTATAAAACTTTCTTATACAAGTATTTTGTAAAGGGGAGGACTAAAATGTTTATAAAACACATTTTTTTAGCTTTTCTTATATTAAACCAGATATTAAGTAAAAGAATTTTAATAAATACGGAGGCATCCCAAATCTGTAGCCACAATTATTTCATAACATTACCACAAATCCAACAGATAAATAGCATTGAAATTAGAGTAATATCAACAAGCAATTAAAAAAAGTCACCATTTTCATTGATTAAAATTCACAATACATATACCAATACATAATGAAACTACTATCACTACTACCCAGATTAGATTTCAGATTTATCAACTGAAACATCATCAAGTTTAGGGTTGCAAAAAATGATACATTATAAGATGAAGGGAGGAGTGAGAATGTGAGTGATTTGGGAGCAGAATCTTGAAGCAGCAGCACAACACCCAAGAGCAGAGGAAATAGCAGCAACAAGCAGGAACCAGCACACGGAATAACAGATCAGCAACTTATCAGAAGCAAGGAATAATATGAGCAGAAGGGACTCAGCAGGAACTTATTTTTGTTTTTCAAAATTGCTCTCAGATTTACGTTTATCGTATCATCACTGAGCAATGGCTGTTTTAACTTAAAACTTGAAAAATGCTGCCAGCAAGTACATATACATTGAAGTCTCAACATAAATGACAAGGGCAACGATGATTCAAGAAAAATTAAAACAGCAAGCATAAGAAACAGCAGCAACAAAACTTATCATAAATTCATAACACAAAAGGCAACAACACAGCACCTCAAGCTGGCAGGAGGAAGGAACCAGCTCATGCAGGCAACAATATAGGCAATAACAACTCAGCAGAGACAACAACCAAAAGGCAAAAGCACTACCAGCAGGCAGCAGCTCATAACAAGTTCAAGCAACTTCAAAATTATAGCTTTTGTTTTTTTAAAATTGCTCTCAGATTTACATCACTGAGCAATGGTTGTTTTAACAAAAACTTAAGAAATGCTGCCAGCAAGTACCAAAATACATTTAACTATTTAAGTCTCAACATAAATGACAAGGGCAACGATTTTAAAAGTCTTGAAAAATGCTGCCAGCAAGTCTGAAAATAAATGACAAGGGCAACGATTTTAAAAGTCTTGAAAAATGCTGCCAGCAAGTCTGAAAATAAATGACAAGGGCAACGATTTTTCAAGATAAAATAAACCACAATGAGACACAAATACCAGTTATGCAGATGAAGCACTTTCGGCTTCAATCTCTTTACCAATAAGGAGGACGTCTTCCTCAACATCCGCTTGATAACCACGGCACCAATTTTGGGTGGTAACCAATGCCTCAACATTCTTTGGCAAAAGTTTACCCCTATATCCTCAAAAAGAAAAAAGCATACATAAGAAAAGCTTAAATTTTTTCAAAAGTTTCCAATGAAATTATGAACCTATAAATAAACATGAGATGTTTATTTTACTAGCCCTAAACTAGCATTTATTTTATGCACATAACTGCAGAAAGTGACACAATTTGGTCTTTTGTTAGGTAAAAAAGCCAATAACCACATAATCTGAACAACCCATCATCATTACTTTTAAATCGAGCATAATAAACAACAAAACAACACAAATCTACCATTTTCCCGTAAAAAACAAAAATACAATCAACAACAGATTTTAGGCATATTTCGACTATATTCAAGCAAGAACAACAACAATAATCAAATACAAAAACAGAAAAACTGTATTAAAAAAAACGAAAAGGAAAAAGTAATTACCTTTGACGGCTTGAAGGAGATTTGAAGATGGAGAACTGCCTGAACTGGAGATCAAAAGAAAAAATCAAGAATGTAGATTATCAGAACTTGAAATAAAAAAAAAAACCGAAACGAAAACGAAAAAAATCGAAGAAATTAACAAAAAAATTACCTTGAGGTTTGACGGCTTGAAGGAGAGGAAGATTTGAAAAAAAAAAAAAACGAGAATGGAAAAGTTAGAAATCAGAACTTTGGATCCAAAACAAAAATGAAACGAAAACAAAAACCCTAAATAAAAAAAGTAAAAAACCGAAACGAAAACGAAAAAAATCAAAACGAAAACAACAAAAATTAACAAATAATTACCTTGAGGTTTGACGGCTTGAAGGAGAGGAAGATTTGGAAAAAAAAACGAGAATGGAAAAGTCAGAAATCAGAACTTAGATCCAAAACAAAAATGAAACGAAAACAAAAACCCTAAATAAACAAACCGAAACAAAAACGAAAAAAATCAAAACGAAAACAACAAAAATTAACAAAAAATTACCTTGAGTTTTGAACTTTTGACGGCTTGAAGCCTTCAAATTGAAGGAGAGGAAGATTTGAAAAAACAAAAAAACGAGAATGTAAAGCGAGAAATCAGAAATGTAGATCCAAAACACAAATGAAACGAAAACAAAAACCCTAATTAGGATTTTTAAAAGTTGAGAAGTTGAGCTTGAGATTCTTGAGAATTTCAGAACGAAAGAGTGAGAAACTGAGAAGTTAGAGAGAGAAACTATGAGTGAGTAAAACGGCTGAATGACTGATAGAGTGGGTTTTTTTTTTCTAGGTTTAGGTTTTACTTGTTCAGTTGATCTAACCGTCCATATTCAATCTCAACATCTAACCGTTCATTTTTTTTTGTAGATTCCAGAATATTCATCTAGATCTAACAGTCTAGATTTTTCTTTGTGCTTTTCTAGGTCTTTTTGACCGTTTTTTTTAATTATTTATTATTATTATTATTTTGAGGGATTATTATTATTATTATTGTTAGTATAATTATTTGTTAATATTATTATTATTACTAGTTTACTACTACTATTATTATAATATTATTATAATTATTATTATTATTACTATTATTATTATTATTATTATTATTACTATTATTATTATTATTATTATTAGTTTATTACTTATAAGTTATAAATTGTAAGAAACGCAAATGTTTCAAAATTGAAATTGATTCAATACGACATAGTTAATGACTTAATGAGTTAATGCATATCAATATCTGACATCTCTATATGTATATTACATATATCTGTGAGTCTGTGACTGTATATCAGTATATATATATAATAAACTAATAATAACTTAATAAGTAATACTAATAACTAATAAAGTAATGAAAATCTAACCATTGTTTTTCATGGGCATTCAATCTAACCGTTGTATATTTGACTATTCGTACATTAGTATTGCATAATGATTTCATCACCACTTTAATTAGTGATTTCGTGATTTCGTTCATTTAACTTATTAAGTTGTTTGAGTTAGTAATCTAAATAAAGTAACAAACTAAATAACGAATCCATTTAATCTCGTGTAAGTTATAATTTATAAGAAATGCAATGTTTGGAAATGGAAATTGATTCAATACGATATTGTTAATGTATATGTAATTATAGATTAATTATTATGTATATCATATCGTACGAATGTATGGTTGGTATCATTATCATACTATCATAAGTATCATTGCCTCATTGAATTATTGGTATGTACTACAATCGATAAACATATTTACATATCTGATCATTAAAACTTAAAAGTTTAAAACACTTGTTGATCAATCTAATTGAATACTTGTACATTCTTAATTATCGATTTATCGTATTATAAGTATCAACTCATTAAATCATGGTCATGACGCGATCTTTAAAACAATCATGAATTCATGACCCAAACCGCTTATAAACCGAACCGACATGATCCAAACCGTTCATAAACCGAACCAATTGAACTGTGTAAACCCTCCACTAAACCGGCCCATTTCAAACTGAACCGACATGATTCGCACCGTTTATAAACCGAACCGATATTGACCCGGGTAAACCCGCCCCTAAACCGACCCATTTCAAACCAAACCGGCTTGATCCAAACCGTTTGTAAACCGAACTGACATTGACCCGGGTAAACCCGCCCCCTTAACCGACCCGTATCAAACCGAACCGACATAATCCGAATCGTTTATAAACCGACCCGCTTATGACCCAAACCGAATTTAAACCGCAAAGAAATAAACCGAAACCAAACCGAGCCGTGACTAACCCAAACCGAACCAAACCGACCCGCCAGCTAAACTAAACCGTTTCAATCCGAACCGCTTCAAACCGAAACCGACTCAAACCGAGGTCAAACCGAACCGCCAGACCGAAGTCCCACCCCTAGTGATAAGTGATACTGATTTACATGGATTCTTCATTGTAATACAAGAAAAGTACATGAAACAAAAATTATGAATCTTGTTCCTTTAGCATTATTGCCTGTATGATAACATAGAAACCTTGCCAACTTGTAGCCCAACTCTAGCTTTGGCGCAACAAACCATCGGAAATGATGAATATGAGTGCAAATTGTCACATTCAGTAACATACGAAGAAAATAATAAGGTGAAATCATACAAATAATCTCTTCTATTACAGAGTACTACAACGAATAGCTTCACCATTCTTAGACAAACAGTTCTTATTCTGATCTTAAACAAGCAGTAAAAAGATTATACGGCTGCTGAAGAAGTGAAGAACGATGTGAACGTCCAACAAATTTCTCTCCAAGAAATTTAGCAAGCTAATTAAGGATAAACGAATCGACTTAAAAACAATAAAAACTAGTGAGAAATTGGTTTGAACTCTCTTCCTTTATTCCTTGGCAATTTTTGGTCTAATCTCAATTCCTTCAACAACTAAACCACCTTTCCAATTCCCACCCTTGACATCCAACACTTGCATCTCTACTTCTTCATTATCATCACTGCCAGTTGAAAACTCCCCGATTTTAATTTCATGCCATCCATCTGATCTTTGCTTCGGAAGCTTAGCTTGATCAACCTCTCCCTGATTCGTCGACTGAGTCCTTGACATAGGAGCCCTGAACTGGTTGAAAATACCAACACGCCTGGGTACAATTTGATACCTCTCCTGGGATTCCCAGTAGAACTTCTCAGTTACGGGTTTGCCTTCAGCAGTCGAAAGTGTAACCTCAGCCGGGGAGTAAAACCCGTAGGCTTCTCTCTCCATCCTGAAGACAAGGTAAGCAGCATAATCTGTGTTTGGAGATAATAGGGATGTTTTTATTTTCCCTTTGATTTCAAGCCAGCAGACAGTAACAAGCTCTGCTACTTCAGAAAACCTGCATACATTTTACAGGAAACAAAATTAGTTAACCAGCCTCTAGCTAAGCTACTGCTCAACTATATAACTAACAAAGATAGCAAATCTGAATTCCGTATACGTACCTCGACTTAGGATCAGAATGCCATGTCCAATATCTTGGTGTATCAGCCCAAACAATGTTCAGATTCTTGGCAGATATAATGTAGCTCTTTTTGCCCGTTGATTTCTCTATTGAAAAGCTCTGTTAACATAAATTTTTATAGCTGTATTAGACACAGAAATATATAAATATTTCATCCTTTTGTAGGGTGAAGGCACATCCAAAGACCCTGACTCCAAACCTGAAAGTCGGAGAACTAGTCAACTACTCTAGCGTCCTATATCCAAGTCAAGTTAAATTGTTCTTTTACACATTTTACAGTGTACTAACATTTATTGGTGTATACTAAAATCAAACCAAAAAATTAATAAACAAATCAACAAAAGGCAGTAGTAACTATCATATTGAACCAATAAACACACTATGACACTACCAAAAAACAAACAGAAAGAAATAAAAGTTAGTCCGTAGCATCTTTTTTAAAGACAATTTCTCTTTTTTTTTTTTTTTTTTTTCTTCCAATGCTTTTTGGAGTTTGCTATCAACAAGTACGAATTAAAGAAGTTATGCAATTAACAAAAAAAAGCATATCATAAACGGTTATAAAAAGTTCCAGGTCAAAAGCTTAATTATCAACCAAATGTTTCATTTGATTACATAACTAAGAAATCTCCTTCGACCAAAGATACATTGAAAACCGAGCAAAAACAAACGTTTTGTTTTGGATAATTAATTAAAATCAAATGATAAATTATAAAAACACACAAATAAGCCCGGAAAAATTAAATTGAATGATTAAAAATAAAAAAATTACCAAAGCACCGTCATCGACGAGGAGGGAATTCTCGGCAAGATGCATGAATAACTGTTTTTTAGAGAGAGAATCAAGCAGAGAAAGAGCACCGTCGGATCGAGAAAGAATTTGACGGTAATCGGACGGCAGGAAATTCTCCCAAACAGCATCAGAATCAGAAGCAGACTTGAAGATTCTAGAAACGGAGGAGAAACGACACGCATCACGAGGACTGGTGAAAGAAACAACGGCTGCGATGCAACCTTCGGGTAAGATGTAGAAATCTATGCCGTAGAAAATTTCTGCTCCTCCTTCAACCATTTTGAATTCTCTTTGGTCTTCCATTTAAAAATATATTGATATTGATTTTATTGTTGGCGTTTGAGAGATGAGTTTGATATTTGGGGGTGAGAGAGAGGATGGGTTGGGTGACACGTTTTATAGGCGGTGGAGAGATAGAGAAGCTTAGGGGTTAAGTCTGTGATGTCGATATTATATTTAAATTTTATCTACTTTTTCAAATGTTATTAAAAAGGGGATCTGATTCAAAGGTTGTAAAAAGGGGATTAGATTCACATTTGTTCTAGTGTAGGAACTAGGAACCTCACTAAGGCTAGGTTCCATTTCTCCGCAAATAAGTTTTTTGTGCCCCTATTGGATAATTAGCTAATGTCTAAATAATATAATTTGTTGTATTAACTGATTTAGGCCCGTTCAAAAAAATAATATTACCTCGTTACAGATTATGTGCAACATTTAGACATTTTCCCTCTCTACTTTATGTCAAATCGTTGCACACAACCTGTAACGAAGGTAGTAATAATAATTTAGGGTCTATTCAGATTTACTGAGCTGAACTATAAAGTGAATTGAACTAAATAGAGCTGAAATGAATTGTGTATGAGAGAAAGAAATTAGGAATTGAACTGAAGTGATTGGAGCCGAACTGAAATAAACTGAAATTAAGCTGAAGACACAGGCCTAAACCTGGGCACGGGTCGGGTTGGCCCGCGTGCCGCCCGGCACGGCCCGTCGTTCGGCGCAGCCCGGCACGGCCCGAAGTCAAGCACGGCACGGCACGAAGTTCAACTTCCGTGCCACGGGCCGTGCCACGGACACGGTTGAGAATTCCCAGGCACGGCCCGGCACGAGCACGGGCATGGCCCGCCGTGCTGGCCCGCGGGCCAACGGCTATAAAACGGCTAGTTTTTTGCCAAAAATTCTATAAATACTCACCTCCATTTCATTCCCAAATCACAAAATCACAATCTCTTCTTCTTATCTCTTATATTCTCTAAATCTCTAATAATCCTTATTTTCTTAAATTCTCTAATTATTCTCTTAAATTCTCTAATTATTTTCCTAATATCGGAAAAAATTAAAAAGTTCGTAATCGTAATTAGTGGAGCGTTGAAGCACGGTTGTAAGATCTAAACTAATCTTAAATTTATTATTGTTTTATTGTTATTATTAGAATAATCTTGTTTAATTATTATTGTTGTTAATTGTTATTGTTGTTGTTATAATTGTTGTTATTAATTATTATTATTGTTACAATTGTTGTTATTATTTATTTTTGTTGTTATTGTTATTGTTATAGTTGTTGTTATTAATTAATATTATTGATATTTTTATTGTTAAAATTGTTGTTATTAATTATTATTATTATAGTTAACCACTTTTTATTAAAAAATTAATTGTTAATTATGGCATCGAACAACCCATCATCTAGGTCTAGGGGGAAAGGCCGACTTATCCGTAGTAGTAGTTCTAGGGAACCACCAAATACAACGAGCCCCCAAATTACGAGTCAAACCAATGACCCCATTTACTTCCCCCCGGGCTATGAGCCATATAATACGTCGGGATTTCCAGCACCACCACTAAACCAATTTCCACTACCACCATACCAATTTCCACCTAATTATATCGGTAATCAACAAAACTATTGTTCTAGCCAAGGTAGCCAAGAAAGTACCCGAATTCCCTCCGGTTCTACCCCTTCTACTGCCACTCCCACTAGTCCCACTACTAACCATCACACACATCATGAATGGTTAACCGAAACTGAGATGCTACTTTTGAAAAACCGAAGGAGTGAGGTATGGCGTTATTTTGTCCTAAGTAAAGATGGTGAACAATGGGCAAAATGTAAAACATGTAATAGTGTATTCACGGCAGTTACCAAAAACGGGACGGGACACTTATCTAGACACATGAAAGCTTGTGCAAAACCAGCTAGTGATCCAACCCAGCCCAAAATTTCCCAATTCCATCCATACGGCTTTACATACAACTATGAGAGGGATAGGGATGAACTAGGAAAAATGATAGTACACGCCGAACAACCTTTTCTTTTCTCGGAAAGTGACGCATTCAACACCTACATTAACAAAGCACTACAACCCCAACATAAAAGAATCTCTAGGAAAACCGTTCGTTCCGCCGCAATGAAAAATTTCCTAGAGTACAAAGTCCGGTTACAAGCCGAATTGAGTAACCTTAACTGTAGAGTATCTTTAACAGCCGATTCTTGGGATAGTGGTTATAAATATCACTATTTATGTGTGACTTGCCATTGGGTAGATGATCAATGGATGTTACAAAAAAGAATAATACATTTCAAAATGCTGGAATACCCACACACCGGCATTAACATTGCTCACCATTTAATGCAAGCAATAGACGAATACAACCTTCGAGATAAAATGATGTCTATGACTTTTGATAATGCAACCTCTATGACATACACAGCTAATCTTATCAAACAAAACTTAACCGATGTACTATTAGACGGTGAAGCTCTTCATACTAGATGTGTTTGCCATGTACTTAACTTATGTGTACAGGATGGAGTTCGGGCAATTGGCCCATACTACAGCAAAATCAGAGATGCTATTATGTCTATTAATAGCTCTAACATGAGATACCAAGAATGGAAGAGTTTTCTAAAACAACAAAAGATAAGGGTAATAAAAATTAGAACCGATTGCCCAACTAGGTGGAATTCCACCTATGACATGTTAACAAAGGCAATTGAGTACAAGGGCCCGTTAACATTATTTTACAACCAAAAATTTCCACAAAATGCTTTGTATGATGATGATTGGAAAAACTGTGAAAGATATATGCAATTTTTACAGTTATTATATAACATGACGTATTGTTTTTCTACTGTTTACAATCCTTGTGCTCAAAACTTTCTTTCTAATGCATGCTTACTCGCCCAACTTTTCGCTGATCATCGCGATCAAAGTGATTATGATCAGTATCTTCCAGCAATGGAAAAAAAGTGGCGTAAATATTATAGTGAGATTCCTTTGATTTATATTTTTGCTTCCATATTAGATCCTAGGCAAAAGTATGAAAACACATTTATGTTAGTTGACATTTACTTTCAATGCATGTTTCTTGACGATGATGTAGAAAACTATAAGACTAATGTGAAGGATCAGTTTTTTGCTTTATATAGAGTCTATGAAGCCAAATATGGCACCGTTCCTCGCTCAGGGCCTTCCCAACCATCCAAAAACGTAAGTAAGAAGGCCAAACATTTATTTTCACAAGCTACTAACTTGATTTCAAGGTTTTCAGGTGATTCATCAATCAGGAGAACGCAAAGCGACGTCTCGGAGTTGCAGATGTACCTGAGTTACGACTTCACCAAAGGCATGGACGACGATGAGATAAACAGCCTCGACCTCCTTGCATGGTGGAAACAACAAAGCTCGAAGCATCCAACTTTGGCGGCAATGGCACGAGACATTCTTGCTATCCAAGTTTCCTCCGTCGCCTCCGAACGAGCTTTCAGCGCATCCGGAAGGGTTTTAGACGATAGAAGAACAAGTCTAAAACCCGAAACACTAGAAATGTGCGTGTGTTTCAAAGATTGGTTGGATGCGGAAAATCGCTCACAAGACCGTTCTTACGACCACAACGACAACGAAGAAGGAACCTCCGCTTCCGGTTCGGGTTCGGCTAGTTCCCAATCTATGCAACTAGCCGATGACCTTGAAGGCGAAGACGAAGACGAAGACGAAGACGAAGACGAGCAAGAAGAAGGAGAAGAAGAATAGACAATTATTGTATATTGTACGATTTTAAAAATATCAATTTTATCATTTTCCAATTTTTGTTTAATACCATCATTGTATGAGTTTATCATTGTTATCATTGTACAATTTTCTCAACTCAAGTAATAATAATATAAAGTACGCATTATTCACATCCAAAGTCCAATTTGCCTTTTTTCCCCGTTTTGTTACAATTTGTAAATTCATATTAAAAAAAAAAAAATTATACCAATTACTAATAAATCATAAACATTAAATTTTAAAGTAATAGTATAAAGTAAATATATAAATATAAATATTGAATATACAAATTATAAAACATAAATATTCAACTTATAATTATAAAATTCATAACTTAATAACTTATAACTTATAAGTTATAAACTTATAAGTTACCTTAAAAAAAAAAAAAAATGAAAACTGCACCAGCCCGCGCAGGCCAGCCCGCAGGCCGGCACGTGGCCGGCACGGCACGAGCCCGCCAGGCACGAGGGTCGTACCGTGCCGTGGGCTGGCCTGTGAAAATGGTCGGCACGGCACGGCACGAAATCCTGGGCCCGCCGGCACGACCGGCACGACACGAACCAGCCCGTGGCCCGCCAGGCACGGCCCGCGGCGGCCCGGCACGGCACGGTGCCCAGGATTACACAGGCCCTTAATTAGTTTGTTGTGTTTGTGTCTGGTAAATAAATGTTAATTGTTAGCTGTATCAATGTATATATATATAGGTAATACTACATTCGTTTCATAATAATTGCAACAATTTGACTTTAACACTATTTATATGATTACTTTGACTATACTATTTTATCAACATATAAGAAACATATGATATCATGTAGAATATATTTTGGTTAAGTCTTTATTTATAATTTCATTATATTATTCCGTCCAAAAAATAATTTAACTTTTCTTACTTCTTATTAATATATAATTATAAATATTAATTGTCAAATTTTTACATTAACATGTGTGCTAGTCAAATTGTTGCGATTATTATGAAATGGGCGGAGTAATTTAACAACTATATGTTCAATAAGCTAATTTTAAAAGGCGTACATCAATAAGAGTTGTTTTAGCCTAAAAAGCTCATTCAATAAGCTATTTACCAAACACTCAAATTAGATTTTTTTTAGTTGGTCAAACCTCTAATAGACTTCAATAAGCTAAAGGCTCTCTAAAAACCTCTTTACCAAACAAGATCTTTGTCTGATTTTCATAATATTTAATTTAATCTCGTCTAAAATTTTATTGAAATTGATCTATTAATTTGATTATTGGTTGGAGTTATTTCTTTGTCTTATAATATTGTGTATATAATTTGTATTTTATTTTAACGGATTTTTATTATTCTTTTTTTTTAACCATAGTATCATTGTATGTGTAATTTTCATTATTTTCAGTTTTCTAATATTATTTTTCAAAACATTTAAACGACAAAACATTTATATTTATTGTATTAGATATATTGTATTACCTTTAACAAAGATCAATTCATTTTTCTTTAAAGGCTTAAACTACATTACAAGAAAAACTTCTCGTTTCTTCCTTAAATTGTACTCTTTAAAAAAAAAGGTGTTTTTTTTTCATCTTTTATTTATTTCAATTCATGTTTCTCTATAATAATTTCTCAACACCTTAATTAAAAAAAAAAAAAAAAAAAAAAAAAAAAAAAAAAAAAAAAACCATCTATAAAACATTGCGTAGTAAAAACTACTGACTACAGTACATGCTTTAAAGAAATGAAAAGTTTTTACGGTGATAGGAGAATATAAGTTATAAAATCATGAAGTTAAAAAGTAAAATTAATCAAGTATTACATACTACATAGTTAATTATTGAAGTACTCTACTCAATTAGCCAATTAGGGAAATTGGCTTAGTTAACAACACATGCATACTTAGCTTGTATTGTCGAATTTTCAACGTCATGGCTAAGTTATAAAACATTATGTATTCATAGTTTATGGCTAACATGATTTATTACTTGGTACTTTGTATATTTTATATTTGTACTATTATGAGAGAATATTGTTGGATCCTTAACATGCACAACTTTGGGGAAGATGGTCTTATATAATTGCTTACATGTGTTATATTTTAAATTATGAATGGCTGACTCAAAAACATTATCCTTTATCTCTTTTGAGCCCTTTCTCCTTCCCACCCACCCATACTTTTCTTTTTTATGTTTTATCTTTTGATTATTTCCAACATAAAGAAGCTTTCATGGTTTATTTATATATTTTTATGATTTTGCTTCTTTTGGTGATCTGATCTTTACAACTTCATAGTTGCTATTGTGGTTATGATGATCTTCCTTAATTAGTCTCTATAGTTGCCAATATTTATGATTTATGAGAGAGATGAAGGTAAAAATACTAAAATTACATCATAGACTTTGTAGTAATTCAACAAATAATGAAATTTGTGTGAACATTAGATGATATGGCAATTCATTTTATTTTTACTTAGGGTCTGTTCTGATGTATTGAGTTGAATTGAATAGAACTAAACCTATTGAGGCTGAACTAAACTGAACTGAAATGATGAACTGAATTTTTAATGAGAGAAGGAAATTAAAAACTGAACTAAACTGAACTAACCGAACTGAATTTTAATTATTGAAGCTGAACTAAATTGAAAATCAGCCGAAGAGAATAGACCCTTAGAGCTGAATTGAACTGAACTGAACTTATTAGAGCTGAAGTGAACTGAATTGAACTTATTAGAGCTGAACTGAACTGAACTTATTAGAGCTAAACTGAACTGAACTAAACTTACTAGAGTTGAACTGAATGTAACTTATTAGAGTTTAACTGAACTGAACTAAAAATAAACGTATGAGAACGAGCACTAATTTCAGTTCAGTTCAATTCAGCTCTAAGGGTCTGTTCTCATACGTTTATTTTTAGTTCAGTTCAGTTCAGCTCAGCTTAGTTTAGTTCAGTTCAGTTCAGCTCCTAATAATTTCCTTCTCTTATAATATATTCATTTCAGTTAAGTTCAGTTTAGCTGAGTTCAGTTTATGAGAACATACCCTTAGTGTAAACTTTATTGGTTTTCTAAAGAGTTAACTTCAATGTAAGTTATACTTCGTATGTGACTGTGTGTGCGTTGGAAATTTTATTGCTTGAAGATACGAAATGAGATAAAAGAAGTTAACAAAGAAACTCGTATACTCCCTCTGTTACATATTACTTGCAACAAAAGGGTATTATTTATGAGACATAAAATATTCCTTTGTTGCAAGTAATGTGTAACAGAGGGAGTATATAAGTATGTAATCTTACAATCTACTACTCGTTTATTCATCTTCCCTTCTCTCAATGCAACCATATATCAAAAGGATGCATATGATGCAAGTATGTTCTTATAAAGATTAAATTGACTAGATGATCCAGAAACAAATTAAAGCTGACAAGGTTCTACTTTACTTCAATTTTTTTTAACCAGTTCAAAGGGGAGATTTTGAGAAATTTACTTAATTAAGCTAGGCTAATTGTATAGTATGTGAATATTATGCTTAACGAGCCAATAATGTGCTAGACTCGTATAGTTTTTGTACTAGGCTGAGGTGTAGCTCGATGCTTTTGACTGAATTAATATTATACTTGTATATTCTAAAGAGAAGGCATATCTTAGCTTCTACTTCTAAAGTTCTAATTTAATTTTTTTTTTTAATGCATCACTTTGAATTTTGCACTATTTACACATTATGGTTGACTTAATTTTTTCAGCTTTATAAAATAAATAAATGTTAATATAAAGTATAACATTAGATTCGTCATAATGTCTAGTTTTATAACATTATTTTGTTTTAATTTTTTACTAATAAACAATTAAAGATATTAATGGTTAAAGTTACGTCTTGGCAAATGTATTGGTCAAACTAACGTAAATTAAAAAAAAAAAAAAAAAACTGTGGGAGTATCTGCATGGTGAGCAGTAAGTGTGGGCTTTGGGCCTGTTCCGATTTATTGAAAACAATTGAAATAAACTGAACTGATTGAAGCTGAACTAAACTGTACTGAAATGAATTGTTTATGAGATAAGGAAATTAGGAATTGAATTAAATTGAAGTGATTGGAGTTAAAAAGTTGAATTCAGCTTAATTTCAATTCAGTTCATTTCAGCTCCTCATTTCCTTCTTTCATAAAATATTTATTTCAGCTCAGTTTAGTCTAGTTTAGTTTAGTCCAGCTCTAATCAGTTCAGTTTAGTTCAGTTCAGCTCAGTCACATGTAAACAGACCCTTAGTGTATACTCTTCTAGTCTTATACTCTTAGCTTAGTGTGAGACTATATGTAGTGGGCTGTAAATTTTTTTATTGGTGAATAGTAGGCAGTAAATATTTATGTTTATTTATATATTTTCTCATAATAATTGTAAATGTATATAAACACAAAATTATTTTGTAAGTGGTTGGGCACAAAATTACTAAAAATGTATATTTTTGGAAACTTCATGCATGAATAGGAATAATTTCCACATATTCAAGTACCCTATCTCATCCACTTTCTCTCCCTCAGGGGCTAAGACATGATTATAGGAGTATGCAAGTTTAATTTAAAGCATAGTACCGCGCATGTTAGATGCTAAACTATACTAAAATTTTGAGATATGTACTATGTAGTTTATATACATATTGTTGTAGAGGCCAAGAGTAAATTTAAAAGCCACGAAGCTGGCTGCAAGGGGCCGAGCCTCCACCACTCCCCTGGCTTGGCCCCTGCTTTCCCTCCTCCTATGGGCATATCTTCTATGAGTATAAAATTATCGTATGCTCTTCACCATAAACAATTCAATAGAATATGTTAACTTGAATTTTTTTATTAACTTTGTGTCAATTAAAATGTGTTAACTATTGTAAAAATGTTAGCTATTTAACCATGGACATGTACTAGCATTTGAAAATTGTTTGGCCCCTTACCCTAATTAGCAAGTGGGCACAACCGCACAAGTGCACAACCCTATACTCCTATTTGGGTGAGTCAATATGTAAAATTAAAAAGTACTCCTTCCATTTTCAAAAACTTGCTCCACTTTCCTTTTTCGGTCGTTTTTAAATATTTGTTTCATTTCCTAACTTTTATAATATTTAATTCATTTATCACACTTAGTGAACCCAACATAATACTCTCTCTCCTCCTATTCTTCCACTATTTTTGCTTTTTACAATTTTTTTATTTTCTCAACTACCTTCGTATTTTATTACTTTTTTCCATTTCTCCAAAGTCCGCGCATGGAGAAATTGAGCAAGTATTTATAAACAAAGGGAGTATTTGGTTATTAAAAAAAAAACAAAGTGGATCACAGGAGAGAATGAGAGATAGTGGTCCCACCAACCGCGTTATTTTGTTCTAAAACTTGGGTGACCTCCTCCATTATTTCTTCTCTCTGCAAAATTTGCGCAAATTAGGGTTTTGCTTTCACCGATTTCTCACAATAATGGGGGGAGGCAACGCTCAAAAATCCAAGACTGCTCGCGAGAAAAATTTGGAGAAGAATAAGCCTTCCAAAGGTTTTTTTTTTTTTTTTTTAATTAATAATTCAAAATTATTGTTCTAGGATAATTTATCTGAAAAAAAAATAATTGAGGTTTGATTAAATTTGTGGTTGATTTGGTGCAGGAAGCCAATTAGATTCAAACAAAAAGGCTATGAGTATCCAGGTATGTTGAATTTGCATTTGATTTTTATTTATTTGTTTGATTAATTTTGGTTAATGATACTACGATTAAGCTGAATTAATTATGATTTATGAATCATTGTGAATTTGTGATGCTGATTTTACCTGTAATTGTTGAATTGATTCTTTGTAAATAATGAAATTGTGTTCAGCAGGTTAGAATTGTGTATGATTTCAACTATTTGATCACTCTTTATGTAAATGTGCTCTTTATAAAGTTTATTCCAACATATACTATGGTCCAATACTAATCTTGCTGTTTATTGCGATGTAGCTTGGTCATTACTCATTAGGCTTGGATAAATAATTATGCGAGAGCGCTCACACACACTCACATTATTGAATTTGATGTGAAAATTGACTCTCACTAATCAATTTTATCAACTTTGATGATATATTTTTGCTCTATATGGTCTATTTTTAAAGGGTTTATAAAATTTGTCATGATATTTTTTGCAACCTTTGTCAGTTAACAGTCTCATTACTCATATAAAATTTCTATATCTAAAAAAGTTGTCACCGTAGTATGAGAAAATTTCTAAACATGCCACTACTTCAATCAAGCGATGGGGAGATAATTAAAAAGTGAATCAATTATCACCAGACCCTGTTGGCCAACACCCGTATGGACTAAAGCCCAAAGTTTGATGTGAAGAGTCTTGTGGTGCTAATCCCTTAAGTTCTTGTAAATGTCATATTCTGCCAAAATATCACCAGAACCTTTATAATAAATGATTAAATATGCCGGAGCCATTTATTACTGTGCTCTATGGTCTACAGATATGCTAAAAAGTTCAGAAGTAAGTCAAACGAATAGAAGCATTATGCATTTATTAGATAACCAACCATAGTCTAGTGATGCTTCTCCACTAACAAGCTGATTTATCCATCTTCAAGCTACCTATTGAAGTTGCTTTGTGCTGTTGCATTGCTGTTGGCCTGTTGCTTTGAGAAGGATGGTGGGGTGGGTGGGGTGGTGATGTTTTTGCTCGGTTGTAGACTTGTAGTATGAAATTAGGCTTATCTTTGGAAATACATATTGCTAATGTGTGCCTTCAACCTTTTATCATTTCTCATGATTACCTCCAAAATTTGTTATCTTGGATTCTTGGCACAACATTTCTTTATGAGAGGACATTTACCATTCATCTGAACAAAGAGGAAGATGTGAATTGATTAGCTTAGGCTAGCAAGCAGCTGATACATAAGTTTTTATGCTTACCTAATTACCTCATGCAAGGTTAAACTTCCATCAGTTATACTGCATGTGCCCTTTAGATTTGGCTATGTATTGAGAGGAAGAGGCGTTTATGCTGAATACAAATTGTGCTGAACATGTCTTGAAACAATGAGCTCAAAGTTTCTATTTAAAAAGGTCATGTTTTACAGTAACTCTATTTGCAAGGATTACGCTGTTTTTGCTGCGTAATATACTTTTACTTAATAATGTCAGAGAACACCAAAAATTTGGCAGTGTTTCCTGCACTTTGCAAACATGAGAATGGTTTGTGTAAATGAGTTTGTTATGCTGAATACAAATTGTGCTGAACATGTCTTGAAAGGCATTCTGCATATTGGATATGCATCCTTGCTGTTATTGAATCAACACTTAGCTTTTTATTCCTTTATTTATTTATTTTTATCATTGAGAACTGCTGACGCCAGAGGGAAGCTGATGGTGTTTCTGTTGACGTTTGGGAGTTGTTGTAGTCATATTGCATTATCATTGTTTTAGATTCGACTTCATTGATACTTTGTAAATGTTATGTTTTAAAAGTATATATTGAGCCTTCTTAGAATGTGTATCTGTTGATCTTAACATTTGAGTGGTGAATGCAGTGCAAGGTATGCATGCAGACATTTATGTGTACTACTACAGAGGTGAAATGCCGTGAACATGCTGAAAATAAGCACCCAAAACACGACATTGGTGCATGTTTTCCACATTTGCAGAAATGACCCCTGAAGGTTTCATGTAGAAATTGATGGGAAGAAGTTGTCACAGGAAAATAAACTTTTAAGAAATATTTCGAAGTTGTAACTTATCTAATGTATATCAAATGATATTGCCTTAAATCTCTTGATTACCGCTGCCTTTGGTTATTGGGATTACTCAATGTAAAACTTTGTTCTTCGAATGAAAGCATCTAAACCTGTTTATCTTGAGCTTGATCTGTATTTGTTTTTGTATAAACGTTTCTCTTCTGTTAATATGGTGCCTGTATTGTATCCTTGCATTCATGAATAAGTTATATTTCAGATTCTAGTGTTTGATTTCATGTCTGTCCATGTTACAATAATTTCATAGTATATTACCCTACTTATGTAAAATAGTAAAATTATACCCCTAGCAAAGTTGACACAACTGGTGTTACGGAACTTAAATGCCCTGTTCTTGAACCTAGTACCTGCCATGGTTGTATTATGGCTTAGTAAGTAAGATATAGCTAAACTTGAGCCCTGGCTCCAATAATATCCAAAGGCTGATAAGAAAACAAATGAAACTCACTGACAGATAGCAAGTAAATACACGCATGATACAATAGATCAATCCACATCTGCTTCTATGAGCACAATTCAAGTAAAAGCAAGCCCAAAAAGAAGCAAGTACAAATGTTACAAATCATACTCCGTTGATAATAAGGTTTTTCAATTCCCAACAATTATCAATCAAGTTGAACATTAAATATATGACTTACAGCTTCAACAGTCGCTCACAATATCAGTTTTGATATTTGGATCAGTGAGTAAGCCCGCAAATGATGATATAGTGTGATTAGAGGTGTCAAAACCGAACCAACCCGAAAAAAATTATTCGTTTCGAACTGTAACCGATCCGATTTGATCCGAGAAATTCAAGACCCAAATCCGATCTGTAACCGAACTGAACTCAACCCGAATCCGAACTTGACCCAATCTGAACTTATCCCGGCACCGATTTGATCCGACCTGAACTCAACCCGAATCCAATTTGACCCGACTTGAATTCAAACCGAACCGATTTGACCCGACCCGAGCTCAACCCGATCCGAAATTGACCCGAAAAATAACCGATCTAATCCAATCTGTTTTGACCCGAACTGATATTAACCCGATCTGATTTTAACTCGATTTGATTTTTACCCTATTCGAATTTAACCCGATCATAATTAATTAGTAATAAAGTAATTCTAACAACTCTAACAAATATCTTTAAAAAATTGAATCAGTAATAAACTAAACTAATAGTACAGAACTCATAGCCTCATATGATTGTACAATTGATGAAGAGTTGTAAACTTGTAATAACCTAAAAAAATGACATACTTTTTTGTATATATCACCATATGTAACTATTATTCGTCAATATATCACTATCTCGGTCTCACTTCTCACTTATATAGTTATGATAAGTTATCGATAATTATTCAATCTCAATTTTCCTCAAAGATAAAAATTACACATAACTTGATCAAATGAGAAAACTAAAACTTCGTGCTTCGTAATTAATAATCATATTGACCCAATAATAAGGTAAAAACTAAACAATATCTCTAGTTTAAAAATAACCTTATTTGGATATGAATTTGATCAAGTCGACCAAAATCCAACCAAACACAAAAAGGAATTGAACCGAAATTGACCGAACCGAACTTGACCGAACCGAACTTGACCGAACCGAAATCAACTCGACCCAAATTCATCCGACCCGAAGTTACCCGGCTAAACCCGATCCGAATATATCCGAACCGAAAGTGAATCGATCTGAATTTGACCCGACCCGTATTCGACCCGGACTCGATAGACCATGACCCGAATTTGACCCGATCCGACCCGACCGAGTTAAAAGGATAATTTTTATCCGAACATATCCAACCCGAATAGACCCAACCCAAACTCCATCCGCTTATCCGAATTGACACCTCTAAGTGTGATTATCAGCAGCAAACTCTTTGTTTCTCATTAAGCTGATAAGATCCTAAGATCCTAAGATCTAAAGCTCTCCTAAGATCCTTTCCATCTATAAATCCTCTAATGATTGTATTGAAAGTGCGTTCATTTGGAAAGAAACCATTGTCTTCCATATTTTTAAAATATTCATCGGCTTTTGCTAGCAACCCCTCTTTACAAAACCCTTTTATAATTATGTTGAAAGCACACACATCATGCAGCCCTTTATTTGTGAGAAAGGAGAAGATGTCAACCGCTTCTCTAAGGCGATTAGCTTCACACAAACTATCCATCAGGATATTATATGTAATAATATCAGGGACCACTCCAGTATTCCCCATTTCCTTCATTGTTGCAATTGCCTCGTCAATTTGTGCATTCTTGCACATGCCATCAAGCAATGAATTCCAAGTGATTAAATCTGGTTTTAGTCCGTGAGCTTCCATTTCCTTAAAAAACTGGTGTGCAAGCTTGAGCTGATTATCTTTGCACAAGGCATCTATAAGAGTGTTGTACGTGATAACATTGGGGTTTACTTCTTTAAAAATCATCTCCAGGAAGACACCTAGAGCTTTGTCAATCTTTTTAGACTTGCAATAGCCATTGATTAAAATGTTGGAAGTAATAACATCAGGTTTGCAACCATTTTCAACCATCAAATCCATAAGCTTTTCTGCCTCGTCCATCTCACCACGTAAACAGTATCCATCTAACAAAGCGTTGTAAGTGATGATATCAGGAACCAAACCACTCTCAGTCATGTATTCAAATATGTCCCGTGCTTCACCAACATTGCCTTCTTTACAATGCATGTCAATCAACGTGTTGTAGGTGTCAACATTAGGAATTATGTTGTCCCTTAACATTTTAGTTAGCACCTGTTGAACCTCTTTCTGCTGTCCCAAAGTGCCCATACCTTGGATTAGGGGGTATTAAAGGTGACAACATCAGGGGAAATTCCCTTGACTTTCATCTCCTTGAAAAGGCGGAGAGCCTCAGGTAATAACTGGTCTTTACAGAGACTATCAATGATGGTGTTGTAAATGACAACATTAGGCATAAAATGGCCATAAGACTCCATATTTCGAAGGAGTTTGAGAGCACCGGCATTATCACCGGACCTACAGAGACCTTTGAACATAGAACCATAGGTGACTAATGTGGGTTGGTAGCCATTGATTAGAGTGAATGAAGCCATTGATGAGAGTAGTAAAGGTAACTATATCAGGTTGATAACCAAGTTTAATAACGTTGGCGAGAACAGAAAGCCCGAAATCAACAAAGTCCAAACGACAGTAGCAATTAGCGAGGATGTTAAGGGAATAATCATCAGGACGAACACCTAACAAATGGAGGTGCCTGTAAAGAGAAATGACAGTGGAGAAAGTGGGGTTGGGTTTAATCTTACAAATGGATGATAACAGTTGATTGAAATCAATAATAGCAGGAAGTGGGCGAATCAATTTCATATGATCGAAAAGAAAAAGGGGAATATCAGCATTAGTAAACCCTAATTTAGATTGTTGTCGAACAACTTTGAGAAATAATTTGGGGTCATCAAAATCATAATGAGAAGCGTAATATCGGACAGAAAATAGAAAAGATGGAAAGTAAAAAGGGGGGGAATTGCAATTAAAATTGAAAATGAAAAGAGGAGAGAGATGAAGAAGCTTACTTGAAGAAGATCCGCCATTAAAATGGAAAAGAGAAGAAATTTGAAGAGAATTTCTGAGGAAAATACCAGAATTGCTCCTCATAATGCCAAATCAACAGCCAAGGAGGAAGATCACTGCCACCGTAGTGCCACGCTGCTGGTGGTGGTGCTGCTGCACACTGTGTTAGAACTATGAAGAGCGTATTATGGTGCTGGCAAAATTGCCATCCAAAATCATCAAAAATGACTTCTATTTTGGGACTTCGGTATTGTGTGAAATGAGTCTAATGACATGACTCGTCAATTCTTTTTAAAATTTTTAACCTCTTAATGTGCCACTTGAACTTAACAAAAACAATACAGAGTAGGAGTATCTCCGTTAGTAAAACATAATTACGTGAAATCTTATTATTATTATTATTATTATTATTATTATTATTATTATTATTATTATTATTTTGACGGGAAAATATTATTATTTATATGTAAAAAATATTTTTTCAAGCCTCTAAAATATTTTCTTACTCCTTCCGTTTTCGAAAGAACGACTCATTTAGGTTGATTTTGCGGGTATTAAGAAACTTAATTTGCAAGTACAAATGTAAGAGAAAATATAAGTCAACAATAACTTACAATTAATACCTAAAGAGATGGCACGTTCTTTCCGGGACGGAGGTTTGTGCAACAAGTCTTAGGTTTTGGTGGTGGTGTAAATGTTGTCTATATTTCTTACTTTCCTAGGCATCATACAATTATACAATTCAACCATTACAAAGATTAAGAAGCTGCACCCATAACAAAGTTCTAGAATTAAGAAAAACAAAAACAGTACTCCGTAATGCATATACTAGTAAAGCTTTCAAAAGCATATGAACAAACTCAACAAAGTACTTATTATGTTATTGACATGTAACTAGAATAGAAACGACTTGCCCGGATTGTTAAATTAGGGCTTGTTTGGCATCATTTTTGGTTTTTAGTTTCCTGTTTTTTTTTTAAAACTAAAAACCAAAAACAGGAAACAATAAAAGGTGTTTCCACTTTTTTGTTGTCAGTTTTCAAAATTATTATGATTTTAATAAGTTTAAATAATTTTTTATTCATTATGTGACATATATCATATATTTTTATACAACAAAAAAAACAAAAAACAGAAAACCACAGCAATGCCAAACGAACCCTTAGTTTTATGTTTTTGACTACTCTTATAGAATATGCTGTATATAGGGCTGGCAAAAGCTGACCCGACCCGACAACCCGACCCGAACCCAACCCGAAATAAATGGGTTTTGATAGAGATTTTCAACCCGTTTATGTAATTGGGTCAACCCGAACCCGACCTGAAGTTAAATGGGTCGGGTTCAGGTTGAAAATCCCAACCCGAAACCAACCCGCATAAACCCGTTTATTTAATTGGGTCGGTTTCAGGTCGGGTCAACCCGAACCCAACCCGCTTAACTTAAAACCCTAATTTAAAAATATGGGCCAAGCCCAAATTATCTAACCCTAAGCTAATTTCCTCTTTCTCTCGCCGCTTTCTTTCAGACTTTCACTCAAACTCTCTCTCTTCTCAGTTTCTCTCTCTTCTCTCCTCTCTTTTCTCTCTCTAACTCTTGAAGATTGAAATAAAAATTCTTGAAGCTTGAAGATTGAAGCTTCATCTCAAACATTCTGAAGGTAATAATCCTATTATTCGATTTTTTATGAGTTTGTTTGCTCATGAGTCATTTGTTTATGCAATTTCCTTGATTTGGTTATGCAATTTTCAGATTTCTTTGATTTTTAAGCGATTTTTTGCTATTATGGTTTATGTATGCTTTGTTTATGTGATTTAATCATTTAATGTTGTTCGTTTGTTATTTTCTTACTCTGCAATTTCTTTCGAAGATTTGATTTGTTATTTACTTATTTTGCGATTATTTGCGATTTGTTTATGCGATTTTTTGCCCTGATTTGATTTTCTTACTCTGCAATTTCATGAGTTTGATTCTTTATATCATGACTCATGAGTTTATACTTCTGTTTTTCATGTTTATACTTCGGATATGAGTGTAATTCTTTTTTTAATTTATTCACAGATGGCTAATAGCCCTAATCCTGATGAACCCATTGATCTTCCGGATTCTGATTCAGATGATGAAGTTTCTGATTCTCATCAAACGGAATCAAAGAAGAAAACCTCTAATGTCACCTCGCTGAATAAGCCTGGAATTCATTTCAAGCGCCAACGAAAGCTCACTTCAGATGTGTGGGCAAATTTTGAATTCCTTGATAAACCTGACGAACAAGGTAACATCATTTGCATGTGTAAAAAATGTGGGCAGAAATATAATGCTGAAAGTAGGCAAGGAACTGGTAATTTAAAACGCCACATTAAGAAATGTAAAAAAAGGACCTTTAAAGATGTGGGTCAGATGATTATTGATTCAAGCAGTTCTGGTTCTATGATGAATAGGGTTCCTACAATTGATTATGATATTGTTCGTGAGATGTTGTCTATTGCTGTGGTGAAACATGATTTGCCTTTTCAGTTTGCTGAATATAGTGTTGTTAGGAAGTTGATTAATTACATAAATCCTGATGTTAAACTTGTGTCTCGAAATACTTTGAAGGCTGATGTTCTGAAAATGTTTAAGAGGGAAAAAGATAAACTTAAGGAGGAGTTGAGTGTAGTTAAGGGTAGGATTCTCTTACATCTGATTGTTGGACTTCAATTACTATTGATGGTTACATGTCTTTGACTGCCCATTTTGTTGATAATCAATGGAATTTGCAAAAAAAAATTCTGAACTTTCGTTTTTTGCCTCCACCTCACACCGGTGTCCATATGTCTGACCATGTCTATGATTTTCTTAAAGAGTGGGGTATCCAAAAGAAAATCATGTGTATTACTCTTGATAATGCTTCCTCTAATGATGTGTTTGCTGATGTAATTAAAAATGAACTTGATTTGGTATGTGGGGGGGATTATTTCCATGTGAGGTGTTGTGCACATATCCTAAATTTAATTGTGCAAGATGGGTTAAAAGAAATTAATGAGGCTGTTGTTAAGGTGAGAGAAACTGTGAAGTATTGTAAAGGGTCTCAGGCTAGAAAGCAACGTTTTTTGACTTGTGTGGCACATGTTGAACTAGACTCAAGTAGAGGATTGAGACAAGATGTCCCTACTAGATGGAATTCAACTTATTTGATGTTAGAGAATGTTTTGTACTACAAAAAAGCTTTTCTTCATTTTCAAAAGGTTGATGCCAATTACATTCATTGTCCAACAAATGAGGAGTGGGGGAGAATAGAGAAGTTATTTAGATTTTTGAAGGTCTTTTTTGATGTGACAAATGTTTTTTCGGGTACTAATTATCCTACCGCTAATGTATACTTTCCAAATGTGTTGAAAATCCGTTTACTCTTGAAAGAGGAGCTTGAAAATTCTGATAACTTCATGCATAAGATGGCAGCAAGAATGAATGAGAAATTTGCTAAATATTGGACCAACTTTAGCATAATCATGGCTGTGGCTGTTGTTTTAGACCCTCGATTTAAGTATGAGTTTGTGGAGTGGGCTTTTAAGAAGGTGTATGGGGAAATAGAGGGTACTAATGAGTTGGTGAAGTTCAAGGAAAGGTTGGATTATTTATATGGTGCTTATGTGACTGAGGCTTCCACAACAACACCACGAACAAGGCGTCGTTCTTCTAGACAGCCTAATGAAGAGCAAGTTGATGTTGCTTCTGATTCTTTTATGATGGTAACTGTGAACACTTGCTTTTTGTTTGATAATCAGCTTTAAATTCTGTTTTTTGTATGCTTTATTGTAATTTTTGTTTAAACATCTTTTAGGACTTTGATAACTTCTCTTCTAGCAAATCATATGTTGCTGCTAAATCTGACTTGCAAATCTACTTGGAAGAGCCATTGATTCCTCGTGCAACCAACATTAATATTCTATATCATTGGAAAACAAATGTTGTGAGGTATCCAATTCTTTCAAAGATGGCAAGGGACATCCTTGCAATCCCTATTTCAACAGTAGCTTCAGAATCTGCCTTCAGTACTGGTGGTCGAGTTTTGGACTGCTATAGAAGCTCTTTGAAACCAAACACAGCAGAAGCTATCATTTGCCTCAAAGATTGGACTTTTGGTGAAGGTATGAAAATAGTTTATGTATTTAAAATTACAATTTTTTTTGTTTCTTTTTTTGTACTATTTTATTTATGCTTAAGGCTGAAATTAACTTTTGTATGTATTCTTTTGGTTGTAGCTAATATGGATCCGCAATTGCAAGATTTATGTGGAAAAATCATGGCCATGAAAGTCAACGATGATGTGGGGGATACTCCCAGCCCCAGCCCTCCACAAAGTGCACCAGAAAGTCCTGCTGTCATGGAGAGTCAAACCTGATTATGTTGTTAATTTCTTCTAAAATTAGTTGATGAAATTGTTACTGTTATTTTGGACATGTATTTTGTTTTCTAGTTGAACTTTTATTTGCCTACTTGGAAGTATTTTGGACATGTAACTCTTGAATTATGTTGTTAAGTTATGTTTGCTTGAATTATGTGTTGAATTTGAAGTCTTGAATACTTGAATCTTACAGGTTAAAGAAATTAGTCAAATTACAGGTTAAAAAAATTACAGTATAAAGAAATTAGTAAATTACAGATTTTTATTTTATTTTTTTTTAATTAAAAAAAATCAGATTTAGGCGGGTCGGGTTCAGGTCGACCCGTTTATAATCAGGTCGGGTTCAGGTTGGTTATTTTGACCTGTTTAAGTAAACAGGTCGGGTTCAGGTTGGGGGTCCTGACCCGTTTATGTAAACAGGTCGACCTGAACCCGACCCGACCCGACCTGTTTGCCAGCCCTAGCTGTATATCTTCTCTAAAAGTCTTTTTCATTCAATTCAATTATTTGGATTGAAGGCCAAGTCAGAGTTGTGACCTCTGAATCACTACTGATGTTTGGGTCTTCCAAATTGAAAAGGTCTAGATCTCAAACTTGTGTATACACAATATAGGTCGTATATACTTGTATGATTTTGAGCCAAGGAGATTTGGCTATCGGCTTATTCATTTATTAAATACTAAATAATTTACACCAAAACTACCCATAAAGAATTAAAGCCTAATGGTACATCTATAGGTGGTGTGCTCGCTGAGTCTGCGAACACAGCAGCATGGATAACTCACACCAACCCATTGAGTTGGGCGAGGGGATCATGACTTATGATATGCTACAAACTCACTTGACCAAAAGGAAATTATTAAACCAGATTTTATAGCTTGCATTAACTTTAGCAATTCCTTTTACTTGGTTTGTTTTTACATGACTAGACCATTGCAAAATTGTAAAAAAAAAAAAACAAACCTTATTTTTTATTGCAAAAGCCTAAATGATTGTATGATATCATCACACAATAATGTTGATTTAGCCTGACCCAAAATTTTTATTGGCTCTGTGGAGTCTTATACTAATATTTTTGGTTAAATTTTCAACTCAATCGAAAATGACTCAAAAATCCGTTCTTTTCAACCTAAAATTATAGGTTTAAATCCAACCTACAGGCCGATATTTACAAAATGACATGATTACCAATCAGGTGTAACCCAAATAACAAATACAAGACAACTCCTCAAGAATTAAGAGTGGGGTGACTTGGTTAGAGGTGGTTTGTTGGAGAAAAGAGTGGGAGGGAGTTAACAAAACATACCAGAATTTTGAATTTCAACGGCTTGGTTTCATACAATTATTATAAATTATAAAATATTATTGAAACTAATTTACATAATAGAGACAATTAGAGCGTGCATGCATGTCTAACCACCATACTCCACCCATATCTTCCTTATTTTTCTGAGGATTATTTCCTAAAAAAAATTCCCAAGAAAAAAAAAATAAACAAAGTTTTTCATCATCCCAAAATTCGGGACTTTTTTACACCCCCAACAAATTTTGTCAATGTTTTTCTTCCTTTCTTCATTGGTTTTGATTGCTTGATTGAGGTCCTTCTTTGTCCGTTCGCCGTCAGAGGACCTTTGTTGTTCTACCTACATTCATCTGAACAAGATAGATAGAATTTTTCAGATTTTGGGTTGTGATTTCATTTGTTATATTGAGATGAATGATGGTTATATTCAGATTATGAATATTTGGAGGGACTTGGTTGTTTTTGGATGAATCTGAGTTGTTGGGATTCTGGGATTTTTCCTCTCTCTAGAGATTAAAGAAAAATCATCAATTTTGACAACGACGAAAACGGGGATCAGGGGTCTGAGTGATCGACATGAATTGCCTACCGTGCTTCAACAAGGACGACGACGAAGAACCCACTGATCCTCCACCACCTCCTCCTAAGAAAGAAAGTCTTGCTCATATTGAACCCAAAGAGGCAGTTGCTTCTTCGTCGAAAGGTATCCTTCTTCTCCTTCCTCCTGTAGTGACTGTTTGATATGATTCCTCTGTTCAAGACATTTGTTCATATATCTACTTTATTGCTTATGAAGTTCTGTGTTAGATTAATTGAGCTAGAGGGGATTAGGTGATATCCATACAATTATGTTTCAGGGTAGATGACAAAAACAGACTATTTCATAGTAGAAACTTAGCTCATATTTGGTTTTGTAGCTACATGTTGGATGATTAAGAGGATTTGAGGTAACCTAATAGCTCAATGACTTGATTAATAACGCGCCATGAGGGAACTAACATCCTTTTAGTGGAAGGTTGGCTTATCACATTAAAGGGTTTCTAAGGTTGGTTCTGCGAAATATGAAGCATGGCTTCATCTTATCAGTATATCTGGCATTATTGTATATCCTAGACAAATTTTCACAGCTTCAAAGCTGTAGTTTCTAGTGCTGTAATGTACTATGTCTAGGTTTGTGCTCCTCAAACATGTAAATAACCAGAATTATCCTTTAATGTATGTATTGAAGGAATGAAGGATAAGTATAGATGTAAATGTATGATAGATCATCTATGGCTATATCAATGTTAGGTGATTTTTCAGCTAGGATTATTACTTGAAACAAAACTCCCTCATTTTTTCTCTGCAGCAAAATTAATGATAAATTTCCTTGCATATTGTAGCAAAAACGTTTACCTTCCGGGAGCTGGCAATGGCAACAAAAAATTTCCGGCAGGAATGTCTTTTAGGTGAAGGTGGATTTGGAAGAGTATTCAAAGGGAAGCTTCAGTCTTCTGGCCAGGTAATCACTAACCGGTGTACTAACTTCCCTTTCTTTGCAGGATTTGTTTACTTATCTAGTCGATTGTTGACCTCATTTTAATGGTTGGCTGCTGTAGGTTGTTGCAGTAAAGCAGCTAGACAGAAATGGAATGCAGGGAAATAAGGAGTTTCTTGTTGAGGTCTTGATGCTCAGTCTGATCCAACACGCGAATTTGGTCGGTCTGATTGGCTACTGTGCTGACGGAGATCAGAGGCTTCTGGTGTATGAATATCTGCAGATGGGATCTCTGGAGAATCTATTGTTTGGTAAATTAACTTTGCATCTCTAGTGGTTAATCAGTATCCTATCTTCCCTTCTACATGTTTTTCCTGCCTTCTGCATCATTGTAGTATATATGCAGAAGCTGCAGGATTTATAATAGCTGTTGCTGTTAATTTTCTTCTTTTCTTTGCTTTCAATACTTCGTATAATGCAAACATCTTTCACAACTTAATGCTTTGTAACTTCTGCAAATTGCAGGTGATGATCCTGACAAGAAACTGCTGGATTGGTACACCAGGATGAAAATTGCTTTGGGTGCAGCCAATGGACTCGAGTATTTGCATGACAAGGCCAATCCCCCTATCATATACCGTGACCTAAAACCATCAAATATTCTACTAAACGAAAACTATGAACCAAAATTGTCTGACTTTGGTCTTGCCAAGCTTGGAGCAGGTGGAGGTAAGGTAAACCCAACATCAAGGGTAATGGGAACTTACGGTTATTCTGCACCTGAGTATTCAAGTGGTGGTGAGCTCACGCTCAAATCTGACATATATAGCTTTGGAGTTGTATTTTTAGAACTTCTCACTGGACGAAAAGCCATTGACACAACTAGACCAAATGATGAGCAAAATCTAGTTACATGGGTAAGCTTTATTTTATCACTCTGATTTAGGGTGACAAAAGTGACTAGAATTATCCTCACCTGATTTATTTGTAACTGTATCATCAGGCACAACCGATATTTAGGGATCCTAAAAGATTTCCAGATTTGGCAGACCCACGACTAAATAACAATTTTCCACTGACAAGTCTAAACCAAGCAGTTGGAATTTGTGCAATGTGCCTTCAAGAAGAATCATCTGTCCGGCCCTTGATTGGTGATGTTGTTGCTGCTCTCAGTTTCCTGGCGACACCTCAACCAAGTACTGCTCCTGCTTCAGCCCCACCAGCAAATGCCCCTCCATCAGAGCAGAAGATGCTCTATGAAATTGAGACCAAAAAGAATAAACCGTCTCAATCAGATGACAGTTTACGCTATGATGATAGTGAGAGTACCCAAAGTGGTTCTGATCTACGGAATGGAGGAAGTTGTCAAAAAGTTGAACTGGGAGAGAAAGACTGTAGTAGTCTATATTCAGGGAGAGGACAGAGCTTTGATACTTTAGAGGAACACAGCATTTACACATCAGACTCAGACAGTGGAGGAGGCAATACCAATTATGATGATGCTGAAACCACAGAGCTTGAAGATCCAGAAAGATCAATAGATTCAATTGCTAATTACAGTTTGCACTCAGCCCGAAGTACTGACAGCAGCATGCAATCTGATGCTGGATATAAATCTTCAAAACATGGAAGTAGTAGGAGATCTTCACCAAAAAATCCTAATGGTTCTCGTAGAAGAAAGCCAGTTGTGACATTTAAGGAACCAAGTTTAAGTGCAAAGAAAAATGGTACTAGAAAACCCAAAGGAGAAAATAGCCATTCAGAAAGTACTAATCAGACAGTACTTTCTGCTGCTACAGATGTTAGACAACAGCAGCAGCAGCAGCAACAACAACAACAGCAACAACAAAAACAGCAGCAACATATACAAGAACCAAGCTCAAGTTCCTCAAGCTCAGAAAGCAGCAGTGAATCTGAGGAAGAGAAAGGGTCTCCAAAACACATGAAAGAGACACACATTCCTCTACAGAATAATGGATTCCAAGAACAAGCCACCAGTAGCCCAGACAGATCAAATCATCGAGTTTTTGAGCAACCTCATAAAGAAAGTCCACAGCTACGGCATCTTAAAACCAGGTGATATTTGTGAGAAGGCATTAATGCATTATACGGCTATCCATCTTCTTGTTCTAAAACTGATTGTTGAGCATAGACAAAAAGAACTCTTTTTGGTTGGTATAATGTTAGCAGTTTGTCTCCCTCTTTTCATCCAATTCTCAAGTTACACTCTAAGCATCAGACATTGAGAAGGTTGGAAACATGCTATTTTGAGTGAGGGGTAAATGCCAGATCTTGGTTGCAAGATTTCTTTCAAAATCCCTTACAACTTGTGTTTGTTTGATCCAATTACGACACCATTCCTTGATCATTCTAGTTCTTCCCTTTTGTCTCGACTCCTCTCGAAAAACTTCATATTTTGTAAGCATATGGAATTGGCCTTTTTTGTACTGAAATTGTTAGAAGTGCTAGGCATGTAGGCAGAAGGGTGAGCACATTCAGCACAACAACGATTTTGTTTCCTTTAATTTTCATAAAATACATGGTAGTGCTGTGCACATCAGTTGTAGGCCTTGTAGCATTCTGAATTTTGAAGTTGTTTACTAAGCGAGTTTTCAGTTGTTGAAACAATCAATCTCTATTTTTTTTCATCTTCTACCTTTCATGTTCAAAGAAAGTAAAGAATTTCTATTGTCTGACTGCTAATACGGAGTACAAATATATACATTAGATTCTGTCCCAAAACACAGATGTATGATTTTGAAGATCTAATTCTGTAAGATCTGTTTGTGTGGATAAATACAAATAAAATGGGGGTATTGGAAAGCTTAGAATTGCTTCTTTAATGTTTTCTCCCAGTAAATCTTACACCAGGAACTCTTTAAAAGTTTAACAAGCAAGATCTATCTGATACTCTGAAGTCTGAAGATCCAAGTTATACACAAAAGAATATGAACCTTCATTATCTAACAAATCGTATGTGAACAAGAAAAATTCCAGTAAAAGTATTAAAATCTTCTTAAGTATAGGTTCATTTCGAACAATGACAAACAATTTGATAAGCTTGTTACCTTTGCCTCAAATTTTACCGAAGCTTCCTTATGGGCAATGATTGTCCAAAGAGTTTTTCCACCTCACCCGCTTCCATCTGTAATTGATCCAGTAATTCCTTTTCCTCCTTGCTTAATTCTTTGAGGAAGTATTCCTCATCTCTTTGAAGTTCTTTAAAACCTTCTGTTAGCCTCTGAAACAATGTCATCTCAGTCCTCCCAACCTTTTCCACCTCTCCTTCAAACTGCTCTACTTCCTTAATGATTTCTTTCTCTCCTTCCTCCACCTTCTTCTCCAGCCTCTCAACAAGCGGAGGCTCAGGCCCACAGGTATTGTCTGTCCGGATGAATGTATTGAAGTCTCGTCCTACACTTCGAGCTGCTCTCTCAAGTTCTGGCACAATAGTTTCAGGCACAGTTGCACTTCTTGTGTAAAGAAAAGCGCCACCATAGCCATCCCATGCATCATTTCTGCCTCGGTAATATACAAGTATGTAGTCATCTGGCTGATTTTCAGTTTTGGAAGATAGGATATACCTACATGAGAATAAAGCTCCCGGTTAAAATAATACCTACATCAGACTAATAGTCTAATACAACTAACTTTCACTGATAAATGATGCTCATAACTCCAACTGACTCAAAATAATGTCAATAGTTAGAATCTTACCCACAACAAAGAAACTCTATCTTTATCATTCTCAAAGTTAAAATAGTGCGGAGCATAACATTTTAGTGTCAACTTCTTATGTTATCCCTCTCTAATGTATCTAATGTATGCTTCTAGGATTGTGAGTCTGTGACTTAAGCAACAAACTTCAAAACCTTGGATATAAATGTCATGGTTGAGCAGACAAGAAAAATAACACCCAAAAAAGAAAGCCTGTCTCAGAGTTTAAAAAATCAAAATGCTTCAAGCTAAAGATGGATGGAATCTACTTTTAAAAAGCAAATATATACAATATACTCAAGGAGAATTAGTAGAAGTTTACCAATCATCTTGATAGTGAAGATATTCATTGTCATGATTATACAGTATCCCCGGTTGGGAAGGGTCTTGCACAAATTTCTGCACAGCAGAACGGGTGAAAAATCCACCATCTGGTGTTTTTATTCGCCAAGATAAGTTTCCAACCAGCTTCCCATCTTCCACATGGAACTCATGTAACTGGCAATCAAAAGCATCGAATGTTGGGTTCAAACCACTACTTATAAACCACTTCCCATCGAAATCTGCCATGTTGAAGCTCTTAACAAGTGCGCTAGGATCAGGAACTGGAAATTCTCCAACATCTGACTTCCGAGGCACACATTTCTTTCGAGAGACTGCACATTCGTTGAATTCATCAACGACTTTGTTCTCGAACAAGTCCCCACATTTGATCTGATATACAGATATATATTTATGTGAGTTGATCTCTTTCTATTGAAGTAGGAAAGGGTCTGAGTTCAACCAATAGATTTTTTTAAGAACTTACTTGGCATTCAGTTTCATCAGGCCTATTATTGCAGGTCTGCAGGCAAGCAACATTGGCTGCACAAGATGGATTCGCAATGCACTTGGCGAGTTCAACTCTACTCAGAATATTGAACAAATCAGACAATGGTGCTAATCTTTTAAACAAACTATCAACAACTATAACCCACAGTAACTAGAAAACCAATACCCTCTATCTAGCCTGAGAAAAACAATGTTCTTTTTTCGTGATCCCAATGTTTTCACATCAAAAATTGTCTAGACACATCAATCTTCTTGTACTAGAGCTTCATGTTATTGTATAAGTTAAGTCTACCTAGAGCAAACTTTATGAATTACAAAAAAATTACTTCACATGCCATATTCTGTTCCCTCTAAATTGGTTTAGTTCAAAAGATAGTTCCTCTGATTTCAGGATCACCAGAAACATGGTTCAATATTGTTTTACCTGCATTCCTTCAGCAAACAGGTACAAGTTTTAAGAGCATCAACAGCTTGTGCCGGAGACATGACCAAAAATGTGCACGCAACTACAGCCGTCACTTCTACAACCTTCAACTTCAAGAGATCCCATTTCTGATAAAGATTCAATAAGAAACTGTTAGAATCAACTTCCCTCACCTACTGCAACTAAAACTATCCTATACATACTGCGTTTAGTACCTTAGGTATAACGGCATTGGACATAACCTTCGAGGATTTCACTTCCCACCCACATGAAATAAGACCTGATTTTGCTGGATTTCGATGATGGAATTTTTCAGAAGCTCCAATAAACTTACTATATGAACACTTCCTCTCATTAAACCTTATCTTCATTCTAACATCATCTTGTACAAGAAATGGTTTCCTCAATTGAACCCATTTCTTTAAATTCGGGTGTGAAACATTGTTGCACATACCAGCAAAATCGTCGTAGGATAAACACATCGATCGTGCAACTAATGCCATGTTAACTTTTCTTTGCAAAACTATCACCAATCCAACTTATATGCAATATTCCATATCTCAAAAAAGCCAAATCTAGCAATGCCAGACACCCTTTTTAAGCGCTCTTCAGTAATTACCTTCTCTTAGCTACTTAACTGTCACCTACCTACCAAATACAGAACAATTAGATGAATTGTGAAAATACCCACATCCCAAAGTCCCAAATCAATCAAAGAATAATTTTTTTTTTCTTTTACTAATCAAATTCAAAAAATAATAAATAACAAAGCAATTTCATGGGTTTTTCATGGGATACATAACAAATGAACAAAAAATTAAATCCAACACTAATATCACGAAAAGTTATCATACACTCATATAAATAACATCAAGATTATAAATTGAATATACAAAGATACATGAACAAAGAATTGAATTTAAAATGGAGAAAGTAGAGATAGAGAGAGAACCTGGAGTAGAAGGTGAAGTACGAGGAGATAGAAAAAGGGCGGGCAACGTGGGTTGTTAATGAATCAGTGATTAAGGGTGAATGAATGAATGAGTGGAAGCTCAGAATTTGGATAAGCCTTTTCTTTCTTCTTGAAGAAAACAAACAAAAAAAAGGAGGTATTTTGGAATACCTCTGACATTTTCATCACTTTTTCTCTCTTTCTACTCCTACCGACCCTCGAACCCCTGACCTTGTTAGGTTTGGTATGATTTTAACCAAGAAGACAAAGGGAGGGTTGATGGTATTTTAACGCCAGTAATTTAATTTATAAATAAATACTGTTATGTTTTTAAAGTTCTTTTAGATTAGATAGACTAGCACATGAAAATAATGGATGGATTTTGCTTTACCTTGCCTTTGTATGCCTTTGGTTCTTAAATAACTGACACAATTTTTATTTTCATCTATTTCAGAATAACTGATATATTACTAAAATATAGCATGGGACCATTAATTAAAAACTATTTACCTCTACTCTTTTATAATCCACCGATATTTGAGAAACAATTTTAGATACATAAAAAATCAAAGGAATATTTTTATATTCAACAAATGTATTAAGTCTTACTTAAAGTTTCTTAAATTATGTGTCAATCTCAACATCCCTAATATTCTGGAACTAAGGGAGTATTCAAGGGCACCAAATATTTGTAGGGTAGGGGCTTGTAAATTTTTAATTGACAAAGCTTTGTTGATTGACCGTATATAGCTAAATGAGTTGTTAATTTGTAAAACTACACAACTATACAAAGTTACATGATTTCATGTTCAACGAGAAAAAAAAAATAAAAAAATAAAAAAAAAATAAAAAAATAAAAAAAAAGGGGGGGAGTAAATTAAATGATGCGGACAAGAGATGAAAGATCGAGTATTGTTTGTGTTGTATAAACTCTAAAAAGGCCCAATTTGAGTCCTTATTTTCCTACTTGATAGAATCTTTATTTATATTTTCTTTTACTTTGTTTAGCATTTTTCCATCAAAACTAAATAATAGTTTACTATATATTGAGGTATTTGGAACGGTTGACTGATTGTAGCTTGAAAGGTGAGTTAGCAACAAAGCTAAATTTGTAACTTATTTTGTTGCTAATGGTCTAATATGTTTGTTATGAATTTTCTATTTTGTAATCCTCATGCAAGTCATGGGGTGGTTAAAATCTTCCTCGACAATTTAGAATGAATTATATACTACGTATAAACTCTATCATTGAATTATATTCTACGTATAAGCTCTATCATTTATGTAATGAATATTATAGTTCTAATCAAAAACTCACATACTTAACCAAGTCAAAAAATGCATTTAATACTATTAGTGAAATTTTAATTCTAATTATTTAATTTTCCAAAAAATGTTGTTCTTCCACTTACCAACCCTTGACCTATTGATACAATATCTCAAGACTAAGATATGCCACCTAGGTGTAAGGAGAGTCAGTGAACAATTTTTTGTGAAAAAATCAATATCTACTTTAATTCATCCATGGGCCTTTCAAATCACTAGCTATTATAGTTTTAAAAGCCCATCATGTAGACAAACCTCAATATACATCAAGCCCAGCTCAAAAGCCCAAATAAATTATTTCTAATTATTCTAAATTTAGAACGAAAACAATCTTAACAGTTTTCCAAAATCCAAGCAACAAATGTATGAGAATGAGAGGATACATGAAAAGTTGACAACTACAATGTATGAGCTAGGAAACATCACACATGCTTAAGTTTGGACTTTGGAAACTCATGATTTTCTTATGCAATATGAGTAATGTAATTCAAAACAGACACTACACGTCCACGAAAATGTGAAAAAGACTGATTATAGCGATAAATAATGCTCTATAAGTCTTTACCAAAAAATAATAATAATAATAAATCAATAATAATAATGCTCTATAAGTCACTAAAGAATTTTTCTACATTTGTCAACTTTCATTTGCTGTTTTTTCTTTCACATTTTGTTATAGAGAATGTAATGAAGTTGCTTACTTGAACGTTAAATGGATGGTGTTTAACTGTATCAAAAGACTTGTACTTAGGGCCTGTTCTCTTACATTGAAATTCAGTTCAGTTCAGTTCAGTTCAATTCAGCTCAGCTCCTAATTTTCTTCCCTTATAAAATATTCAGTTCAGTTCAGCTCAGCTCAATTCAGTTCAGTTCAGCTCAGCTCAGTCAATGAGAACAGGCCCTTGGGCTTCTAACATGGTTATATAATGCTTGCTAAGTATTCAATTTCTACAAAGAAGAAAATATACTTCGTATTACACTAAGTTGAAATGATAGCAACATAAGCAATGCCTCTCAAAAAATTAATTAATTAATTTTTTTTAAAAAAAATGTCCATATACCCAAAAAATATAGCACATAATCATTACTTACTCTTTGTCTTTCTCATACGGATTACAAAATACACATATACCCAAAAAATCATTACTTACTTTTTCTCTTTTTTCATACAATATTCTCTATTTTTTATTCTCATACAATGTTCTCTAGTACTTATTATCTTTTCAATAGAAAATATTCCACTACTTTCGCCATTGTCCTTAATTAACCGTGATTTTTGAGAAATAGACACGAAATTATGGAATGGAAGAAGTATCACAATTTTATATTAATTTTTTTTGCCAAAAACTAGTTTTATATATTGTAGTAATTTCATGATTACGAACATCTCATATTATTTTATCATATTGACATAAACTTCTTCACCAAAACAAATAAAAAATTATATTGACATAAACTTAAAAAGTAATCCTGAAATCATAACATATAATTGCTTTACCTACATCTATTTAATTCGTGGAAAATGTTGAATTTGCAATTTTAATTTATGGTGAAATATTGAGGTCAAATTATAACTACGAAGAGAGAGGAATAACTCAAGTGGTTAGAGTTTTCCTCTTACGAAGTAAATGGTAACATCTTGTGGAATCCGAGTCAAATTTAATCCAATATAATTTGTCAAGTATATTAGAAAAATCTACTTAAATCGAATTTGGTAGGAAAGAAAGCTTAGGCTTAGTGCTTTTCATAAAGATGGTAAAAACCAAATAAGAAAGTTAAACGTGGCCTTCATGAAATGAATTCATTACCTAATGTAAGCAAACAAAACTACACACCATAACCATGAGGTCCATGACACCACGACATTCCATAATTTACACACTTTACATGAATATTGTCTTTTGAAAATCTCATGTTACAACTTCAATGTACTTGATTGCCATTTTTAACACGTCTTATCCCATTATAAGGCTTCAAAATGACATAATTAACAAACATAATCTTTCCTAAAAACTTACTTGAATTGACTCTAGTGTAGTACAAAATATTAGTTAAACCGGCTTTATTGTAGTCATCCATTGACCAAGCTTATTGGAGTTTATTTAAACTTTATTTTTCTAAATGTTATTACTATAAGGTGAAAAGAAAAGGTTAAGTCAATAAGTCCTAAGTTAAAAATAAAATATAAAAATAAATAAAAATAAATAAATAAATAAACCAAAAAAAAAAAAACCAAACTCTGATTTGAAAGATATGGCAAGAGAAATAAACTTGTTGATAGTTAATGATTTAGACAAATTTCAATTCCGTACCTCATATACAACTGTCAAAATCTCTATCAATAAAACAAATATCTATGGTACGAACGAAGTACATACTTTATGATATGGAAAGAAAAATCTTAGAAAAACGATAAATGAATGGAAGAAGAAAGTAATATCATGAGTCATCCATGTGAAACTACCCTTAGAATGCATATACATGAGGAAACTATGCCTGTCAAAACTCAACAGTCTGGTATGAATGGCTCATATTGTATGTGGTCCTTGCTAGATAGATTGAGTCCTTACCACTATATTCAGATGAGAAACTCCCATGAATCACTTTTCATGTTAGTATATACTCTCTACTTGATTAAGATAAACTCCACTCCCTTACTCATCTCCCACTTCCAAGTACTAATAAAACTGAGCCACTCAACTATACTTCAATTACATGAGAATACCTGATTTTAACCGCACCAAACTGGATATGATTAAAAATAACAAATAAACCCTAATCAACCTGAAACCAAACCGAATGATTCATCACCTAAATATAACCCAAATAAAATCAGGTCCACAAGATCCAATACCCCATTTCAATCCTTTAGAGTACAATTTATCCTCATCATCTTCTATAAAAATATACAGTACAGACATATGCTTGGCCTTTAAGCTGCTAAATTCTCTGCACTTTTTTTCTTACTTCAGTCAGCTAATTTTTGGTCTGTATATCTATGTTCTAAAACTCAGTTCAAAAAACTTGTACTAGGATTGTTCAGCCAAAAGTAGGACAACACAGACAAAACTAAATTAGAAAGATACTTTAAACTAGCAAAATCTAGTACTAAATTTTGTTCAGGGTAACAGATCTGTCAAGGCTAATGATTGACCATTGCACAGAAACACTAACACAAAAACAAGTTCTTGCTAAGAATTTTGGCAAAAGTGGCCCAAGTACGATCAATAAAATCTGAGTAAAAAATATGCAGGCAAGAAGTACCACTATCACCTAAATGATAAGCCAAAGATCGGTACAAGTCTGTTAAATTTTTTTGATGACATTAGGTCTTTTCTCAAGGCGAAAACCCTTTACAATCCATGTTTGAATGTTTATGTTTTAATAAAAACATTCTAAAAAGAATTAGACCAAATCTACTCAAAACGTATACCACAAAACTAATACCCTGAAATCAGAAGTACTAAGCAAATGAAACTCGCAACATATGCAAAAATTAAATAAGGAACTCCAAAAACAGACGAATAAAAACACACACACATACACTCATGGATGGAATGAGCTCAGCTTCTACAAAATAGTTGATGATAAATCCGAAAAGCTAAAGTTTTAGAGAAGAAAATATCCAAATTTTCATCAAACCTAAGAATATGAAGGCATAGGATTTTAGGAGTTCAATGGCTTCACAACATTCATTAAGCAGTTTAATCATTTGACCTAATTCATTATGATAAGAATAAACAAAAATTACTCTATCAAACTATGCTGAAACTATGCCTTCAAGGCTTCAACTGTGACAGAAATTACAATAGACAAACGCTGTCTGGTGAAAAACTTTCACCTAGATTAACAAAGGTTCAATCATTGAATCTAACTATATATATCAAGTCTTAAACAAGTTGAAAATTTTCTTTGTCATTTAAAAGAAGATGATAAATCAATACTATGTAGATATTTTTAACAGAATAGGCCAAATTTTCAGTTTTGTACTACTACTGGTAGATAGCTTGTGATGTTCTGTCTCTGTTTATGGCATGAAAACTATACACGAACATGTGAATGGTAAGCTGACTATACATGATATGTCTAACAACCTCACAAGTTTTGGACATTAGACTCCTTCAGCTAAGTGCGTAAGATACTTGCAATGTAAAATAACTGCCTCACGTTATAAGGTAACTCTAACAATGCTCAGGATACCATGAAAAAATTACCTCTTATAGTACTAGAATACAAAGTTTAGGAATTTTCTTTTTCAACAGATGAGAGGGCAAGATTAAGAAAATTTGCATTATCTCACCCTAATCAGAATATAATCTACTGCCACGCAGCCACATCCGACGTAGCATTTAATAGTAGAATAAATGCCTCTTAGTACAACTCTTTTGAAGTAGTTGCAGGAAATTTTATTTCACAAAACATCTTTAAAACTCAATTTCTTTTCCTCTCCTTCAAAATATAAAAACTCTGCATCCTATAACGTCCCTAGTAAGTCAGCCACTTTCAGATAATCAAACAACACATCTAAACACCTCCACTTTGCCTCGGCATCATTAATAATTTGCGAATTATTGTACCCCAAAATTCAATTGCATTGCAAGCCAAAGGTGAAAAGCTTTAACTGATCAAAACTAGACTTCAAACAGAAATCATAATGTAGATCATTGTATGTGCAACACAAAAGATGTATGGTACACAAATAAATAATAAGAAAAACCTTAGATTGCTTGAACAATGCATACTTCTCAAGTAAATATACATCTAAAAAGAAGTACATAGAATTTCATTGCAGATATAATTGGTCATTCCTTAAATACCTGCATCACCATCCCCATGGTTTTCATTTGCATCTCAATTCCCTCCTCTGGCCCTTCTTCACAGAGCAGGTTAGAGCAGACTCATTAAAATGTACTGAGATGCCAATACTATCTTTATATTTGGGAATTGACTCGGCGGTCAGAGATTCTGTGAAGTTCAAGACAGCATAAGCGCAGCAGAAAAATGGAATGATACAAAAAATTTATGCAAATTAAATAATTTGGCTAAAGGTGAAGAAGAGGAAATGCATACATGCATATGAAGAAATTAAGAACACAATCAAAGGTATACTTAAGATGTAAAATATTTTATTAATCAAATAATCAAAACAAATTTTTATTCCCTAACAGTAAAGAATAGCAAGGACTACTGCTATGTCTTTAAAGAGATACCAATGACCAAGGCAAAACTGATACAACTTCCAACTTAATAGCGTATGAACTAAGTACAAACATTAACGAGTAGTATCTTCTACACGCAGCATCAATTATGCATACTCGTCAATTTTCATAACCAATTAATAAGAACATTTTCAACTTAGTAGCAAAACAGCAACAGATAATAGAGTTTTAGACATGCACTAATTTTGAAAATTTGTTACACATTTGTTCACAGATTGCTGACATTAGCACATTACATCTTCCATCTCGCCACTTAGAGTGCTTGTCTACTAATTACATCCTGCTAACTAACTAGATAGAAATTATAATCTTTTTTTTTTTTTTAACAAGAGACTGGTTATTTTCCTGATTTTGCCTACCTTCTTACCAAATTTCGTAACATGTTTCAAATGAATTATTCAGTGCACAGTCATCATTGTGGCCTAACATTGTCCAATGTATATATAAGCCAATGCTGTGAGATAGTTTCTTAAGTCTTTGGGAGCAAAAGATATTATAGGCCTCGAAGAGCTTCAAACCATCAAACCCTTAAAATGCCAACTATGACAGTTCACACACTTGCAGTCATATTTGGCATCTTAGGTATATATACATAACACTTCAAATTTTTCTCACAGCTGTTGTTAAATGGCAGAGGGGGAAAAGGAAAGAGATTTTTGAATTGCTTTCCCCTTCAGGGTTTTGTTTACAGCAATGCTATTGTGTATAAATTGATACTAATCATGATTTTCTTTGTTTCACCTCAGGAAATATTGTCTCAGTTGGAGTGTTCCTTTCACCACTGTTAGTCATTCTGAATTTACGAATAACTCAATTCCAGCAACTTCTTCAGTAGGCTCTCTAAAGTCTAACCCTTGCTTTATCTCTCTTTTACAGGCCAACTTTCTACAGGATTTACAAAAGGAAATCATCTGAAGGATACAAGTCACTACCCTATGCTGTGGCGCTGTTCAGTGCAATGATGCTATTATATTATGGCTCCCTCAAGCCGGATGGATTTCTGCTCATCACTATTAATAGTTTTGGATGCTTCATAGAGGTTATTTACCTGGTGACATTTCTTGTATATGCACCAAAACAGACAAAGGTATATCTTCTGCTTCACTCATTTTCCACCCTCATTAGAAGTCAGAATCGACTTTTAATTACAGTTAGAAAAACTTCACTGTTCCTTGACCACCCACAAAAGACCCAGGAGAGTAACACTTGTTTTCATGTGACCCCTGAGCCCCAATATACTATGCCATATTGGTTAGTCTGTACATATAATAAAACTCAGACAGATAACACTTTGTCCAGAAAAAAAAAAAAAAAAAAAAGCAGCACATGTATGAAAATCAATATGCAGGAAAAACATTGTGCAGAAAAGTAATTACTGTACCGCCCTTTCCACAACTCCTTCCTCCACCCCCCATTTTACCTCATCAGCTTCCCAGTTTGTAAAACCGGTGTTGCCCAGGCCAATGCAAGGAGCTAAATCAGTTCTTGTTTTTGGGGAAATTTGGTTCCTACTCTTCTGCGTTTGTCAATACCTATCCAAGTAACCCAGTGTGATTCTAAAAAAAGTTTCCATTAAGCAAACTTTTCTGCTTTAAAACCATAATTTTAGCACTAAGTCACTTACAGCCTTACAGGAGTTTGATACCAGTAGCATGTGTTGAATAGAGCTCCTTTAATAGTCCACTTTCTGACATTCTGCAGAATTTCACACTGAAGCTTATAGTTCTATTTAACCTGGGAGTATGTAGCTTAGTCATGCTGCTCACAACTTTTCTAGCAAAAGGTTCCAAAAGAATTACTATTGTAGGCTGGATAAATGCAGCTATCAACCTCGCGGTGTTCGCTGCTCCAATGAGTGTCATGGTAAGTAGTATGAAAAATCCATAACTTCAGATTCCTAAGCATGTTAAAAACATATCAAATGATAATCTAAACTGAATATTGTGACGCCAACACTTGATTTCGTATATCAGAGGCAAGTAATTAGAACAAGAAGCGTGGAGTTCATGCCTATTTCTCTCTCCTTAGCCCTGACCCTTAACGCCACTATGTGGTTCTTCTATGGATTTTTCCTCAAAGACTATTTCATCGCAGTAAGTACCAATAAATCATTTCTTTTTAAATTTCCTTCACTATTTGGTACAAATTTCCAACAATAATGTTCTTTTGTGATACATAGAAGCTAATTATTATGATAAACAGGGACCAAATATATTGGGATTTTTTCTAGGAATGATTCAGACGAGCCTCTATATCGTCTACAAATACTGCATCAAAAGGACAGAACATGATTGCATTCATGAGGATACAAACAGAGTAACAAAGTTAGATCCAGTGGATGATGTAGTCAAGGACAACCAACCAATTGAAATGCAGATAGTATAGAGTATCCTTTTCAACTAGGGTGAACTGTTAACTCTCCATTGAGATCTGGGGTTTCGGGAAATCGCCTAGTACCTATCTATATGAAGAGTTGAGACAATCTATGGTAGATAATGATGTAGTTTGTGTGAAATAATATTAATAATAACAATAATAGTGATTCAATTTACTGTCTCTATATCCAGGGACGGGATGGGAAAGAGAAGAACAAGGAAAAATCACTGTTTTTTTTTTTTTTTTTTTTTTTTTTTTTTTTGTGTGTCACTTTGAAACTCTTTCCAGGTTACAAGTGAATGATAGCTTTCTATTCCTTTGTTTCATTCGTCCCTCCCCTCCCTCCTTTTCTTTCAAGATTCTTGGAGAGACAAACAAGTTGTTAAAAAGACAACTTAATTTCTAATTTGCTGAATCCTGCCTTTCAAATGAACGAAGGTAGAATGCGCGAGGGTGTATCATATACATAATCTTGAAGAAATTTACTCCAATTTTCATTATTGAGGGAAGTTTCTTAGATACAACTTTAAAACTAGATTCTGCAAAACTAGCCTATTCATTACAGCAGATCAACGTTCTAGTGAGCATTATCAAACAAGTAGCTGCATTTTGCCTTAAGCCTCATACAGCTTTTTAGCTAGAAAAACCTGGTTTGATTATCATCTCATATATCCTCCAGAATTCCAGACGGTAGTTGAAGGCACCACACACCGCACAAAGCATGCACAAACAGGAAAATAAATTATTAACTGACAAGGCTCCTCAAATTTCAAACCTGTCAGCTGGATCATTTGTTGTCTTCTGCAATGGACCCTCCTCTAGAAATTAAATTCATTAAAGCCCTGGTAGCATGGCCAACAGCTCGAGAGGTCTTCTTTGCAGCACCAGAGACAACTGGTTGCAATGAGATGGCAGGAAGGTTCGCTCTCTCCTCAATCATTGCTGCATAGCAGCAGGGCAGAGCAGTATAAGGAATTCAGTTAGGATGAAGAGGTCAATCAATGTTTAGGTAAGCAACCAAAGTATACTTATAACATACACATAGTCTGATCACGAGCAATAGAGCCAATCTGTCGCATTCCATGTTTGGCTGCTTGAACTGCTTCTGCGGATTTATTAACTCCCTCTGATATCTCTTGGCTGAAAACATGAACCACAGTGTCAATTTATCTGGGATTTCAGCCAGGTCTTGGCCACAATCTACAAGTGTTAGCAAAGGTTATAAGCCAAGATGCTTTAACACGTCAATACTTACAGGTTATGTTTATTAATATGACAAACTTACAAGAGTTTAGTGAGTTTTAACAACTTGTATGCAATTAAACAGGATAACATGAAAGGTTAAGCATTTATTGAAGATGAAAAGTTTTGGCAGAAAATAAATATTTATGCCAGGTACACTAATAAAAATTATCTGTCTCTCTCTCCCCCCAACAGCTTTAGAACAGCATAAATTACTCTGCAGAATTTAGAAATAGGATAACAGTACCACAAAAAAAAAAAAAAAAAAAAAAAAAGGGGTCCAAAATCTTACAGAATACAGAACATGAAAACTTTTCTACTCCATAAGAGAAGCACAAGAATCAAATGAAAAAATATATATAGATTTCAAACCAAAGCATCTTCCTTTCACTGAAAAAGCAATTATCAGCTTGCAGATAGATCACTCTTGAATAGATTTTCAATCAATCATTCAATCAACCAATCAAAGCCTTGAAATAACTATTTATTCAATCTTACTAAAATAGTAGTAAATCCCCCCACCCACCCACCCAAAAAAAAATAAAATAAAAAAGAAAACACACACACACACACACACAAAGACAAAACCAAAACAGAGAAAGCATTTCCTTAATCAATGCTAGATTGCTAGAGCTTGAAGTGTCACATCCTTTGTAATCAGAAAGCACCTCAAGAGGCATCAATCTAGGGAAGTGAAAAGAAAGTTAGGAATACACAATCATGAAAGTGGAGTACTCTACTTTATTTACCTCAAGTCACTCAGTTCCACAGTAAGGTCACTGATTTCAATGCCTGAAAGCCTAATAGCTGCCATTGTACTGGGCAGCTCCTCTCGAGCAGTGTCTGCTAGCTTTGCAAAAGAATTAGCAGCTCTTCCCATAGCCTAATACATGACAAGCAAATTACAGTAGTCAGAAAATTTACTCAATTCCTATGCTCCTTATGCCAGCAAAAATAGAGATTACATAATTGATAATTCAATGTCACTTATCTAAATACAGACATTAAGCTAAGCACACACTTTATTGTGTTTTCTGAACAAGCCAATTTTAATAAAATATATTCAGATAGACCAGATCTGGTGAAGTTGGAAAATTTTAATGTAATCAAATAATTATTTTCAATAATCTTAGTTTCAATATAGTACACTTCAATTACTCAAATAAGCAGTCTAATCAATCACTATTAGACACTTTGCTTTGCCTCCTTATGTTGCCCTGCCAGCTAATCATCAGAAACTATATAGCCTCGGTTATATATAATGTCCTCAAAAGCTGACAGTTGAGGACTTTACAAAGTTTGAAGGAGCCAAGTAAATAATTAGCAAGGTGTCCATGTCCTAGGCCTTGACAGTTTCACTTCATCAGCTCTATTTCTGCAACCACATGACAAGATCCAGGTCCAACACCTTAAAGGATAAAATTAAAAATAAAAATAAAAAAGAAAGTGGAGAATTAATGTAAGATTATCTATAGCAGAAGCTTTTGTCTAATTACCTACTTGAGCTGGGGAACAGCCCAAGTTATAGCTCCATTTAACCATCCATCACACTTATTGTTAGGCCAATCCCTATATTTGAGGCAACTCATTTCATTACAACAAATACACAACAAAGTGGTGCATCCGTTCATGCTTGCATATTTTTCTCCTTTACAAACACATCAATGACCAATCATGTTTTTCAAATAGTTACTGATTTGAGCATCAAAGGAGCATCCCTCAGATCCAGGTCAGACGCATCTGCTAATGAGTAGGTCTTAGCTGATTGCAGCTAAAGGGGAAAGAGTGGATGATAACAACTCGACAAGAATTTATATGCAGGTCTTAGCTGATGGTAGTTGAAGCATGTGTCAAACAGGATTATTAGGCACAATTTATTTAATTTGACTACACTTGACAAAGTAAATATTGTTTGGAGAACTTACATACAAGGTAGGAACAGCTGCAGCAACAAAGCTGACAAATGCCACAGAAGTCTGCAACCAAAGGAAATCAATATAAGTAATGAAAATATATAGATAGTATTTCACTTTCAGTGATATAAGTGAGTGGAATATCCGCCAGATAAGTGAGTGGACTATGAAACTAAGGAGAAGCACTTTTACACTATATTTTCCTTCCTCTAGTTTCATTGGAAAGCACTATAAAGGGGGAACTACAATACTGAGCTTCACTAAGGTTTCTCAGTCTCAGGAACCATACACTATAGAAAACTGATATATGATAGAGTAATTCCCCAATATAGAAACAAAAACCTAATCTTACCATTTAAGATGTCCCTAAATATATGTTTAGGACCCCCTCACCTGAACTTTTTGCTCTTCATTATGATTTTTGACATCCTACTCGTTTTCTAAGGGGCATATTCAGGACACCATTTGGCCGAGGGAATATACAACTCTCCCCCCTTCCGTTTTTATTAGCTAAACTCCATGTGCCTTGTCTATATCCATCAAACTCAATGCCTTGAGCATCATTGTATGAACCACTGATTTCTCCTTAAGTACTAGTTAAAAATTTGAGGCACACATATATTATATTCCCAATTAAAAATCGCGAGCTTACATGGAATCATGAATCAACTCCCAAACAAATACCCCCTCGTTTCCATATTATCTGTCCACATTAACTAACATTTCTTACTCTACATTATTTGGCACTTAAAATACAATGCACTATTATTTTTCTTTCAATGATATCAGTACAATTTATTTTTTAAGGATGATATCTATGCAACATTACTATATACAGTTTCAGGGAAAATGATAAAATGACAATACTAAGCATAAATCTTAACATTAATTACACCAATCGATACGTGAAATTGACATGCAAAAATGAAACATATTCGGTAACCAACACTAAATTCAAAGCCTAAATCCAATAACATTCCATGTAAACTAACAATATTCTGAATTTAGGTAACCCATTGCTGGAAAATCAACAGAATAAATGAAGAACACCATATAACAAGCTGTATAAATTCTGTAAAATTCAAAGCAGAAATAAATAATTGAATTACCGTGCAAGCGATGAATGTTAAGAGAAAGAAAGCTTGGTCACTCAAACTGAGCTTCAAACGCCACGACGAGACGAAAGGCGGGACATTAGGGTTCTTAATTTCAACAAATTCGGATTGATTTTCCGAGTCAAATTGTTGCGCCTGTGATTTCTGACTAATTGAATTGGGAATTTTCAACTGAGTTGATGAATTCAAAGAACAAAATGTTGATAAATTGCGAAGATTCGAGGAATAAAGGGGGGAAATTGTGCGAGGATTAAGGAAGAGAGTGGAATTTGAAGGAGAAATTGAGGTTGAGAAAGTTAAGTGATGGGGAAGAAGGAGAGAGAAAGTGCGGGTGGAAAGATTTGAAGGTAGTTGTAATGGAGGTTTCATGATGGTAAATTGGAGAGAGAAAGAGAGAGAGAGTGTTTGTTTCTAAGAGCTGTGAAGTACTGCAATGGCGGACTGGTTTTTGCAGCGAGACGCCATGAAAATGGTAATGGAAGCTTCGGACACCTACATTACAGTGTTCTAATTTTCGCACCCAAATTTGTTACAGTACAAACTAACAATATGTTTGATTGGAGTTGATCAACTTTGACTCATCTTGTCACAAGGTGGGTTATCGTGTTACCTACCCTCCGAATATGTGAAAAAATAAACTTCAAACTTTGATTAGATTTTAAGCATTTACAAAGTATTTTTTGTAATGTGATTACGTGAATTACAAGCCTACAATCAAAAGTAAAAATATATGATAAGCATTTTGTTATCAAAAATTTTTATGTTGTAATTTATAGTAATGAGTAATTAGAGATGTGAATAGTCAGGTATGGGTAATTACAAGTTAATCTCTGAGATTTACAAAATTTGTTTATCACATGGCAATTTTGTAAATAAATCAACAATTTTTTCCATAAAAGTGGGTCCTACAGTGATGATGACTGGATAAAATTGTTGATTTATTTACCAAAATGTCATTGTTTATCCCAGAGATTAACTGGGGCTTCCTCGTCAGGTATATGCATAAGCTAACAAGAGGACCTTTTAGAGAGAGTGAAGACCTTAGAATTTTTTTATTTTATTTATTTTATTTTATTTTATTTTTTGAAAGAAGAAAAATCATTAGAAAGCTCTCATTGTGAGAAGAATTCCTAACACTACGTATAAGTGAAGACCTTAGAATTGTCAAAGCCATTGTGGTCTAGTCCTAAGGTATGGGTCGTATACTCATATGGCGGTTTGGCAGCTCCCTTTGCACATATGTATATAAGACTCTAAGGTGGTGTGGTCGTGTCTCGTGTGTACGACTTTCTAAAGCACATCTATAAGGGCTTAGAGAAGGTGGTTCATTTCGTAGCAGCAAATTAGCAAAATACTCTGAAGGGCAAATCAAACAGCTCCACACTAACAAAATATTTAGTACAAAATTTAGGCTCCGTTTGTTTTGGTGGAAAATATTTTCCTTAATTATTAGATTCCATTCTAAAAAAACAAATTATGAAATTTTATTATTGTTGATTGTGTAATTAGGACTCTCTTGTTACTCCAATTTCTGACAGCACTCTGAAGGAACACTTCAGAAAGTAGGAACAACTCTCTGAGGGTCTGATATGTATCAGACTCTTTGTCACTGACTACCCAACATATACTAATACACATAATTAAGACACATTAACATAATATCACTATCAAATTAAAGGTATTACTGGAAACACAAAGCTCCTCATTCGGAGTAATCAAAACTAACAAACACACTGACTTTAAGTATGTAAATTATAACTCTAGTACGGCTTTTCCCCTACATAATTTCCTGTAGGATAGTACTCGCAGGTTATGAATGAATCGCCGCTGTCACATATGATCTTAGAGCATCCAACCAATATGGTTTGCTTCCATACAGCCTGAGTGTAGTGTCCGCAATCATATCCACTAGTACAGCTGTTGCTACTATAGTCATACCATTGCTTCTCATCCACCCATGCTGCGACTGCATCCTTTGCTGTCCATCGTTTCCCTGAACCCCAGAACAAATTTTCTCCGAATGGACTGGTAGAATGGATCAGTTTGCAGTCCTGTCGCCTCTGCCTAGACGAGTATATCTGTGCATATTTTGCAAGCAAATTTTCCCACCTCAGAGGTGGAACCCCTACTGCTTTTCTTGCAGCATTATGCCCATCTAGGACCTCGTTTATAAATTCTGTCGTGTTAATCCTTGCTTTCGCAGGATTGACTTGAATCAGGATGATTAGTATTGAGATGGATAGAAAGAGTGAGCTTAGGATTTGCAAAGTTTTTGCCATTTTAAGCTTTTGGTTAATGAATAATTTGAATTGTTTGGGTTTGATAGTAGTCTTATATAGAATCCAGAAAAGTTGCGTTAACTTAGTAGCAGTGGCGTATCCAGGAATTCCGAATTGTGGGTTCGGAATCTTAAAAAACAAACGATGCTCATATATTAATTAAATATTCAATATATAAGTTCAAATTTTTTTATTACAAATGGATGGATTAAACAGTTATAAAATAATAAATAAAAAAAACCTACAAAAGCATTCTTCGAGTTTTATACTTTGAAAGCGTGCTAAAACATTACTACTTCTATAAATGATAAATCAATAATTATATTGCAAAAAATCAATATTACACGAAAATTCGAAAAACAAAAATCCCAAGTCCCCAATAAACACAAATTTGATAATGAATTTTTTTTCTAATTATCAATTAAAAGACCAAGTAAAAATTTTAAATTCTAAGTTTCTAAATTCAATTTGTACGTCAACAATATATCAAAACTAATTAAACAAATCAATAATTAATCTAATTATCACTAATTTACAAACAAATAATGATTTAAGAATTAAGAGGACCGTTGAAACTAATACGTACTAAAGGATAAAAGCAATAATAATATTAGATAAGTATGAAGCAAGTAAAATAAAGAACTCATAATATTTCTTCATGCTTACTTCACCAAATACAAGAGCCATATATGTAGGCTAACAAACAACAAATAATAAGCTAAGAAACTGAAAGTATAATGCCATGTTTAACCCATAAACCCACTAAATAAACTCATTAACTTCTAAATTCATTTAACTCTCTAACTTAACAAAATGACCAACATACTACTCCTAAAATTATTGACCCAACTATGGACTAACTCATGAAGAACAACGGAAGAAATCGAAAGGGAAAAAACACAAAAAAATGAGGGTGGTTGGTCTCGAACCCATGATCAAGAGGAGCCTCACTACTCTATTAGTCACTCCCTTACCAATGTGTCAAAGTTACATACTTGTTTATTTACTTCACAAAAATTTGTTTTAACCTTATTTTTTTAAAAAAAAAAAAATCAAAACTTATAAATTTTTTTCAAAAAATCTGGGGGTTCAATGAACCCCCTTGAACCCCCCTAGATCCGCCCATGCTTAGTAGGAACATTGTTTTCAAAGATAGTTAGGTTGAATAACTGTATTTAATTGTAGGCTGAAGCTCTTTGCTGAGTAATATAATTGCTTGACATTGAATCAAATCATAGCACATGGATTTTACATTAGTTGATTGAAGATTAAGCTGCTAAATGGATTTTATTACTTGAATTACGCGAAATACCATGACTTTCTACCTTTCAGGTTATTAGATGATAAATAAATACCTTTTGTATGATGCATCACACACTCAATTGATGGTGTGAATTAATCAGCCTACAATTGGGTAATCCCTTTAAAACTTAATTTTGGGGTTTTTTTTTTTAATTTATATTAACAACAATCTCATTGCTTATAATGGTTATAAGTAACCTCGTTTATGTATTGTTCATACCTTTTTAGTAACTCTTAATAACCTCATTGCTCACACACGATTCATATAATCATATCCTTTTAGTAAGCCTTAATAAATAATAACCTCATTACTCATCGGTAACCCCATTTTTATTGAAAAATTTTATATACACTCAGATATATCATGCACCTAAGTAATCCAAAATTAGTTTCTGCTCTTCATTTGACGATTAAATGAAAAGAAATCATCAAAATGCTCATCGGTGTACCGTGCACCCGAGTGTATTTAACTATCTCACCATTTTTATATGGTGGCTTTTTTTTTTTAAAAGGTAAGGAGAAAGACCCTGACCATACCTCAACCCTCAAGGTTTTTTTGGTCCAGTATTGCAAGTCATATACTTTGAAAGTGAGGGAAAAGGGTAAGGGATCCCCACCCTCAAAGTGTCTCTAGTGGGGATTGAACCCCCAAGGTTGGTTACCCTCACAGTATTTATACGGTGGTTATTGGATAACCTTAAATATTTCTAATACATACTTTTAGTATAGTCAGTGTGTATTTCATAAGTCGTCTAAGATTATACTTGTCAAATGTATTCTTCACCTTAGATTTGGTCCATTTGTAGAAAGGATCAGAAGGTTACAAAGGAAAAATTGATGAAATATATAATTAAATTACTAGGACTAGCTTAGAATTGGATCAACAAGTTGACTTTATGGCACAAAAAAATTTAAGTTGACATTTAGGATAAGAGTAAATGGTTTACTTCATCTTGATTCTTGAGTAACAAGATACGAGTATGTAATAGTTTCAGCACCTTTAAGTAAGGATAACATGCATACTCCCAACTTTAAGCGTCAAGATACACTTTTCTTCTAGTTGCCTTAGATGTAGAATGGAGATGAAGATGAAGGATCTTGTCGCTTCACATGCGATGTGCATAATGTGTAATGCGAAATTCCAAAGTACAAAGAGATTGCATTCTTAAATAACTCACAACACTTCATCTCTTTCGATGGTTTCTAAATACTTACAACAATTTCTATTAAGACAAGGGATCACAATTATTTTATTGTTTCTCTCACGCTAACCCCACTTAAACCATTAAAAATACTCTCATAAGGTCCACTTGCATATTGATTTATTCATTTCCATGTACTCCCAACAACTGTTCATAAACCACGTATATACACGAGTATTGCAAGTATTGAGGAACTGATAGAAAAATACAAGTAGACAAGCAGAAGAGTACACGAGAAGACAAGATATTACTTGGGATATTACGAGTCACTGCAGGAGAGTAGGAGACTAGACTGCCCTCCCATGCTAGGAAGTGGTTGCGAATCAATTTAGTGAAACAAGATATAATATAGTCCATTACGATTCACTGCAGGAGACCAGATTGCCTTCCCAAGCTAAGAAGTGATACTGAATCATTTTCAGCACATCTTCAAGCACGGCCAAGACACTTTTAGCTTCACTTCCCTGCTCCTGAAAATCATTGAACGTAAATGCATGTGATTAAAGGACAGCCTAGTTTATCATAAATGCAACAAAGACACTGTAACCAAAGGACCAGACTAACACAATAATGAGGCAGTAACTATCATTCATACACATCATCAGCTAATAGAAAAGAATTTGCATCCAACATAGCTTTGAATAGTGATAAAGTTTCAAACCCGAAAACTTGTTTGTACGCTTTAACATGGATAAAGTTTCAAATCTGAAAACTTGTTTTAACAGAAACATGTCTTACCAGCAGGTTCTCCATCTGCGTCAGCCGCATAACAATTTCCCTTGTAACTTCACCCGTTGAAGTAAGGAAATCATAGCGATCAGCCTCCCTAAGTTTAAACCTCATAGATGAGTTACGATAAGTTTCAGTCTTGGTGTGCCACACGTTAACAACACTGTACTGACCTCCAGACTTGCTTTTCCCAAGAGACCACCTAAGACCACCTTTCACATTTGGGTCAAATATTGCCGCGCTAACAAGATTTTTTATTTCTTGTACCTCTTCTTCCTAGACAATGCATGATACAAAGCAATAAAGTTTGTAACAGCCCAAATACATAATTCGAATAACAGATAATAAGCAGAATGCATGCAGTCATGGAAATTAAAGTTAAAAACACTAACCAACATTCCCTTAGGAGAATAAGATCCATATTTCTAATGAATATACAATGTATAAATATCAAATATTTAACATAATTGTTTCACCTCTATACTGGTATGCTTGTGCAGCTGTGCTCAGGAGGGCCGTATAATCTATAATGTTAGAGCGAAACTTAAACTCGTGCATTGTAGGGAAAACAGAAAGGTAGCTCCAAAGATATGACAAGAACATCAACAAATGACAAAAACTAGATTTATGGAAAACAGTAGCCAAAAAAGCACAAATCCTATAAGGTTATAAGCACCAAGTCCACACCTAATGGAAATTTACAAAGTAGATACCAACTTACCTGGAGAGCTGTTAGGATCTTCTTTTTGCAGAGTGCCAACCTTAGGTCCACATTACTTGCAAGGCAAGACATATCAACAATCAGATGTCGTACTGGGTTTAACTCAATCTACAAACCAGGAACCCGAAAGTCAAAGCTAGGATGCAAACAGCAGAGACTAATCATGGAGGGTGGGGTAAAATTCCAAATTAACATGATAGATATGAACTACAAGTCTACAACCCCAGTACAAAATGAAACTGCTGTTAAGAAACTGGTTTAGATTATGAGAAGCCATTCTACCTAACTCATGCTTTGAACAGCTAAAATCAAAGCACTTGCCTTGTACAGTTCAAGTTTATTTTCATCTTTATTAACTCTGAATTTGCAAGATACGATTGATTCCGATCGTTTGGCATCAGCAAGCTGAAAAACAAATTAAATAAGATTTTAACCAAAACAAGTGCCATGTCATACTAGTGGAAACAAGAACAATATTGAAAATTCAGCAAATACCTTTACACGATATACGTCTTTTTCTTCATTAAAATGAACACCGAGCTCTGGCAGAACTGTCTCTTTAATGTGTTTCATGTATTCTACAGGAACATTAGTATAGAAAATTCTTTTCAGCTGCTTTATACGGGATTCAGAAACCGAGCTTTCTTTGACCAGATCTAGGTTGCATGAAGGATTCCTGCACCACAAGATACATCACAAACCCATAAAGCTTCAAATTCAGCACCACCAGGAAGGTTTTGCTGCCCAAATCCCTCACAGAGGACATCAAGGTGCATCTGTCTGAATAAATAGAACAGATATGACGTGTGCACATGGCAGAGATGACAGCATATATGTTAGTCATTTCCTACGAATAGGGGTTTATAGGCTAGACCTTAAAGCCACACATGAACCTATTCCCTCAAAGGTTAACCAAGAAACTAAATAGAAATTATAAAATGTGCTCTAAAATGATTGCAATAAGTTTATGAAAAACAAGCAAACTCACTTGCACTTGCCACTATAAAATAAGTCACAAAAAATGTTTACCCACATTTTGATAAATATTCAAATACACAAGTACAAAATAGAATTTCCAAAAGAACATTAATCATTTAGGCAACTTCAGCCATTAAACAATTTACATCCCAAAAGAAACGTATGCAAGAACTAAGAAGAATAGAGAACATCAAGGCAACAAGCACACAATTAGTGAGAGCAAAAAACAGAATGACTATTACCGACGAAAAAGCACTTTGCCAAATCGAGCAACAACAGCTGTCTTGGATTCTTCCAGATGTTGATCCACCAATTCATTTCTTAAATTCTGAAAAGCTGAAAGCAGATCTGCATGTACAGTTTCAGCAACCGACTCCCACATATGCTCCAAGCGACAGCTCTTAGTGTCATGGCTCTCTAACATGATTAAATGAAAATTTACATAATGCAAAGCATACTTAAGCCAAAAGTATCTAAATGTTGTGGAAATCTAGGAGAGGGAAACAGGAAAGCTTATTGCAGAGTGAAAGAAAGAAACCTTGTTGTGACAGACCGTTAACTAAACTGAATAATTTCTCTCCAGGTTTAAACTCTGTAGATTGAAAGTTAACTGGTGCCAAACTTAATGAAGACGAAAGCTGCATGTCATCCATTGATGGAATTGCCAGCCATCTTGATATAGAGTGACTAGCATAAACGACGTTCTTTGCATATGTGGTAAACTTTTCCCTCCTCTTATCAGAACTTGATCTTGATGAGTTTAAATCAAGACTCTTATTGAAGTTGGGAAGGACGGGCTTAGGAGGGGGGCCCTCTTGGTTCTTTGACAACCGTTTATGCGGAGCTATGTAAGCCATCAACAGAGTTGTCAAATTTAATCACCAAATGCCTGAGAAGTGAAGCTGATATTAGCATCCAACCAATCCTATTATCCGGCTGCTAATCTTTTATCAACTTCGGATTATTTTGAATGCAACTAAGACTAAAGGTCCCTAATTAAGCAACACAACCTCCCTAGTTTCCGGTAATTATGAATTGCATATGTTCTGGAACATCTTTAAATGTTGAAAACCAATTCAAATCTTTAACAATGCCGTCAGTCTTGTCACACACAAGGAATGCTTTGGAATTAAAGAGTTTTATCAACAAGTGAAACAAAGCAGCATTGAGCATCCATAATTATCACATAGAGTCTTCTAAATTTCTATGTATGAATTTTATGCCCACAACAATTACCATGGTTCAGGCATCAAACTATGTCCACAATAGATAACCATATTCGAAAATACATAGAAACTAATCATCCTATCCAAATTGAATCACATCATCATGCACAAAGTTCATTCATGATCTTTAACAAGTATATCCAACTCATTTGCACACAATTTATCTAGATTATACATTAATACCGGAAAACCGAAAAGCAAAATATATTAGATAAATTCATAAAGTGAGCCATCACGATTTCGGGTTTGAATCCAAACTTCTCCACAAGAGAATACATGGGCCATGGGCAAACATTCCCAAGACTGAACACTAAACTTAGCAAATTATACTTAAACTAGGCCCATAATTCAGATTAATTAATAAATGTGTTAGGGTTGGTGAGTGCACAGCGGAAGCGAAGATGTGTTTGATTGAGAAATATAAACTAAATTGATAATTGGCAAGATAATTAATATAAATGAACACACGATTTTATACAACAACGAGCACTTTTATTCCACTATTTGAAAGTATGAGAGTACAAGAACCCTTGAGAGGGTGATTATTACAAGAGAACTCTCACTATAAGAAACTCACAAAGGAGTATTATGATAGTAGTGGAATATTACAAGGAGGGAGAATATTTTGTAGAAAGGCTTGTATTTGGTATGGCTTCTTGTGTTTTTGTGTTGTTGTTGTTGTTGTTCTTGTTATGGTTTTGATTGAATGCCCTTAACCTATATTTATAGGTGATGATGGAGGTTTCTAGATTCTTATGGAAATTTCTCCATAATTATGGCTCTTAATCTAGAGGCTTCTACTTTTAATATTCTCTAGAATATTCTAGGAGATATTAAAGTTGTAGATAACTCTAGAAAAATCAAGTGTAATCTTCTCTTGATTTTCAGGAAGCTTCTGGATTATACTCCATCAATATAATGGGCTTATAAAATTTGGGCCATACCCAACAAAATGTTAGCCAAGTTTCCAATCATTGACACAAATTACTAAATTAGCAACAAAGTAGCATATTACATGAACTTCCCAGAAAATCTAAAAATTGTTGTTCTTACTCAAACATCATGTTCAACTCAAACATAAGAAATTAGTTAAAATGAAATCACCCCAGTTCCCCAAATAATCAAACTACACAGAAAAATCATATAGTTTAACATATACTCTTTCATGTCTAAAGATGCAAAACAACAATAGTAATGCAAATAAAACCATAAAAAATGCGGGTTTTAAACCCCTGAGATAAAACCCAAAACCCTGATTATTGATGCAACAATTACGTGTAATAATAATACTAATAAATAAGTACTAAGTTTATGCATGCATTAGAAGAGAGAAAATTACCAAATTAAGTTAGCAAACCATCTTCTTGGATGCTTGTGAATTTTACCAGAGACCGAACAATGTTAACAAACAATGCAATTTCTCTGTCTGTTTTTTCTAGACCTGAATACGGGTCGGGTCGGGCAGGCAAACAATTTGGCCCATTTCAAATAACAGTTTGGACTTCAATCAACATAAAACAGGATGACAATGTGGCTCATTACTCGTAATAGTCATAAACAAACGACTTGGGCACTTGGTTCATAATGTTGGACAAGTGGGCTTTCTTACAAGGTGTGGTCCAAGTGTCCAACTACATACAAAGCACACTTGCCAATAACTTGAGCATGTTTGATAAATGTGTTTTTTTTTTTTTTAAAGTTAGAAACAGAACTAAATCGTTAAAGTTATCAAGATTTAGTTGGAAGGTTTGGATAACAATTACTACTTTATTATATTTCTACTTAGTTATTTATATGTGTAACTATGGGTTCCAACTTGCACGATGTGCATGGTATGGCTAGTCTTTTGAGGACGATAATTAAAATTGAAAATTCCATTTTAATGGCATTTTTATGCCCTAAGCCTGTTTGCATAATATTTTTAAAAACTATTTGCATATAGATAATAAATGTATTGGATCGATGTTTGTATAGTTGTGCAATGTTTAAAACTTTCGTTGTAATGGTAAAAAGAAATTGAGTTTGATCTAAAAATATAAATGTCTAATAATAATTAAATGAAGAAAGTAAGGGTCTGTTCTCATACATTTATTTTCAGTTCAGTTTAGTTCAGTTCAGTTCAGCTCCTAATTTCCTTCTCTTATAAAATATTCAGTTCGGTTCAGCTCAGTTTAGTTCAGTTCAGTTCAGTCTATGAAAACAGGCCTTAAAAGAAGGCTTTAAATAATAAATAACATAACTTTTTAAATCAGTTAAGGGAATTCAAGAGACAAGTTTAAGACTTTTTAAATCAACTGGGGTACATATGTAATTATTTTTTTTTTTTTTATATATAAGGAATATGCCCATACACTATTCATAAAAGTTATGTGTACCCTCCTATATAACAAAAAAAAAGGGGAGTTAGGCCTATTATGTTTAGCTTAATTTCAGCTCAATTCAACTCCAATAAATTTATTTCAATTCAGTTTCTAATTTCCTTCTCTCATAAACAATTCATTTCAGCTCTATTCAATTCAGTTCAGTTAACTTAAGTTTTCCGTTGTTTTCAGTAAATCGGAAATGCCTTTAGATTTTAATGATTCATGTTCATGTTTAAAACAAATAAATAGAAAGAAAAAGAGTTAAATAACAATGATTAATTTTTCATTTTAATTTGTTTTCTTCTAATTTCAACTCTAGTATTAATGCCAACACATCCCCTAATACAGGTCAAAATAGAACAAACCTAGTACAAACGAGTAGTGTTGGAACAAGTATTTAAAAGTGGATAGAGTTTTCCATAGTGTTTACTTACAAATTAGCTTATAACTCTCTTTACCGACTAATTTGAATGGAGTAGACGAAGTTGACTTTTGAAACAGCTTGTTTGACTAAAACGTTAGCAAAATGTCCGTAAGAAAAGCAGTCAATCATTCTCCGTCGTATAAGAGAAGCACGTGCCCGGTTGACGGTGATCTGACGGTGGAGAATGACGGTATGTTCACAGTCAAGTTAAGTGTAGTACGTTTCTGAAATCTGAAAGACATCAAACCCCAAAACAAAGAATAAAATAAAATTAGAAAAAGGTCAATTATTGCTTTTTTTAGGGGAGCATTTCATTCTACGAGGTGGAGTCTTTTTTGGTCTTTTGGTCAGCTTTTTCTTACTGAATCTATGGCTTGTCTTTCTTTTTATTTTTTCTAATAATGATATTATTATTAATGTAATAAAGATAATTAAGTTCTCACAAATAATATTGGCATGTTTATTCTTCTTAATTAGGGATTCCTCAATAAGATCCTAGGGAATAATTGAGTATATAGGAATGATTGATTGTGAATAAGAAAACCCAAGGGCTATGAAGTCATTTTTAGGAGAGGTTAAAATCTTACCAAAGTTAGGCCTTATTCTTTTGAGCTTTTGGACAGAGTAGAGCAGACCATGGGCTAACGGAGCAAAGCATGTCTTTTTAACATTGCAAAGTACAGCAAAGCAAAACAACTCAAAAGAACTAGGTTTTAATCACTCTTCTACAAGGATTTGTGTAATTTATGTTTAAAGCGTTCATCTTACACTTATACATAAACTGTATTGTTGTAAAATTTATCCCACCTTGACAATTATTATTCGTAACAATAATGGACAGGCATACACTCATATTAGAATACATTTTAGCTAGAGATTCCAAGCACATACTATCTTTGAATAATTAGAATTATAACGGGAAATAATGTTGTTTAAAGCTATACATAGACAAATCGTGCTAAAAATGTATTGCTTTGTTTTTATACCATTATTATTGTTTCTCATGACAAAAAGGAAATAGAAGATGGAGGGAGAAGAACAAGAAATTGTTTTCACCATCATTGTTTCCAAGGTTAATCAATAAAGAGACAACATTATTTGTGCAAGTTCATTTTGAAAAGATCATTGTTCATGGTGAGAATTACTCCTAGCTAGGAAATTTCATAATATGTTGTAGACATATTGTGATACATATGTGGACTTCCATAACTTCAGTCGTGCCGCATGCAATGACAAACAATCTTAGCAATAGATCACAATTCACAATATTGACATTTGAAATCAAATTTTAAATTCACACAGTCTTTAGGGTTAATAATCTATCTCTTTTATGAGCCTCAAAAAAATACTGAATATTGTACTTCATGATACTACGTGCATTTCATATTAGTTGCAACTTTAGAATATTTTATACTCCTTCCGTTTTTAATACTCGCTCTGTTTCTCCATGTGCGGAGTTTTAGGAAAAAATGGAGAAAGTAATAAAATATGGAGGTAGTGGGGTAGTTGAGAAAATAAAAAATTGTAAAAAACAAAGTAGTAGAAGAATAGGAGGAGAGAGAGTATTTTGTTGGGTCCAAGAAATGAATTCAATATTGTAAAAACTTTTCATAAAGAAAATGGAGCAAGTATTTAAAAACGGCCGAAAAAGAAAAGTGGAGCAAATATATAAAAACGGAAGGAATATTTCATAAATAATACCCCAAAGTTACAACTAATATAAAACGAAGATAATAGATAAATAATTTAGCCACACCCTATTTTGATCCAAAGATAAATAACTTTCACTAAAACAAAATTTTTACTCTTTTTCAACAAGTACATAACTTTACCTCCATTTCCTAGCTACAAAGCCTAAAATAGCTTTA